ATTTCCGATAACTAACAGGCTTGGCCACGTAATTTAATACGGCATTCAAGATTCAAGTAACAATCAGACCCCTACCTTTCATAAAACAGAGAAGTGTTCTCTGCCGCCAGAACTGATTCGAAGTTGATCGAGCTCTTTCCGAGGCAGGTCATTTCTAAAATGAATGACAGAAGTCAGGAAGAAGAGGCATTGTCTCAGGCGCAAATCCTTGCTAACGTCGAAAGACAAATCAACGCAGCTACAGCTGCAATTAGTGAGGCTTGTAAACAACTGTAACAAGAAGCAGACAAGCTTCATAACGAGCGGGAAACATTCGATCGAATGTCGAAGAAAATAGAAAGTACGTAGATTTCTGAGACCGTCAACCTCAACATCGGTGGCCAGCATTTCACCACAACTCGCCAAACGCTAACAAAGGACCCAAACTCGTACTTTGCTGCTATGTTTTCGGGAAGGTTTTCATTAAAGCGTTCTGAAGATGGTGCGATTCAGACGATTGAAATCGATCGAGATGGAAAACACTTCCGCCATATACTTAACTACCTGCGTGATGGGAAGTTATCTTTACCCGAAGAAGCCACATGCACTGATCTGGAGGAAATCGAGACAGAAGCCACTTATTACCAGATACAAGGAATTATCGACGAGTTAAGTAAACCCAGATCCGCGCAGAGTCAGAAGAGTTCCATTCAAGGAGCCACAGCGCTAGCCACAAGGTTGTTTTCAGATTCTAAGATTCTGACTCGAGAACTTGACATGATCCTGTCAGGTATGCTACTTTACAAAACTGGCGACTGGCGACTTCTGTACAGAGCTTCTCGAGACGGCTTCGAGGCAGAATCGTTCCACTTAAAATGCGACTACAAAGGTCCAACAGTAACGGTTGTGAAAAGTGGAAACTTCATATTTGGCGGATTTACTGAAGCAGCATGGAGGAGTCCGCGTAAGTAAAATAACGTTGTCTTCTTGAATAGTACAATAACTGTAATTGTTACTCGAGGTCTAGCAGGATGGAGTTTTAAAGTGGCCATATTAACACTTACCGGAGTCCACTTCAATGAACCAAGAATCGATTTCCTTTATAATCGAAGTTAAGGTCTCGGTAAAGGAAAACGAGGTGCCCACAGAAAAAAATTCTAGTCGCGCGAGTATTTTCGCTACAAAGGCAAGTTATATATCAAATTAAAGGTAAAGACTAAATTACCTTATTAAAGATTTTATTTCATCGAATTTTAAAAGGCGCTTATGTTTTTTGCTCTCGAACTCAGAGGTATCGAGTTTACTGCTGAAGCTCCAGCCCTTTCGCGTTGTTAAATATTCACTTCCTTTTTAATTATTGCGTCTCATTGACAGATAAAAGACCTAAAAAAGGGTGTGAGGACATTTGCATATGTCTCGTATTAGCGGAATTGTTACATTTCAAACTAAAAAGTCGAATCTCGAGCGCGATTTACGCAAAGAAACTGAGATAAAATGAGTTACAAAGGGAAATCGGAAAATTCCTCACACCCGTTTTGAGTCTATATCATTATCCATCATATCTGAAAGTTTAAAAGCGATAGCTTAAAACCTGTTCCGACTGGAGGTCGGAGAATTTTGATTTTTGCGTCTAAAATAGAGTGAGAGAAAATCAGCTCTAAAGATTTAGCGCGAGGTCCACGCTTGGCTGGTTAGCTCAGAAAAGGCTCATTTTAGGAGGGTTAAAAAGCACTTTCTGATTTTCTTTTTCTGCCAAAATAAAATTTAGGACCCACTCATGCCAAAAATCCAAAAAAAAAAACGAAATCGAACAATGTACTAAAATTTTCATTTACCAAGACCTTAAGCCAAGCTGGCAATGAAAATTTAATGTTGATAAATAGCCACACACTTTTGGATACTTATACGTTATACGTGGGAATAACGCCGCACGAACTAGTGAAAAGTGATTTTTGTGAATTCATTCTTCACTCAGGCAGACATTCAGTTAGTATCGTTCTAAAGTCGTATTTCAAGACCAAATTTATACGCGACATGACGAGAGGGTGGATTGAGGGTCAGTTTTAAATATAACTTGAGTCACATCAGCAGATCAGTACTCGTCTGAATTAGTGTACAGTCACCAGGATTTTATATAGGCTTTATTTGGGGTTTTAGCGGGAGTAAGGTATAACTGGCCAAAATATTTTTAAGATAGATGATTTGAAAAATGAATCCTAGGGATAGCCAAAAATGGTGGATTTAGGGATAACGGAACTATATTCATTAAGATGATAAATACTTCAACCCCCCTTAATTGGGACCGGATATATAGTTTTGAATGAACGTTCATTAAACTTTGCTGCATGTATTCGGCCAAACATAGTGACAACAGGGTCAGTTAAAAGTTTGTAAAAAATATTTAATTTTCTCCTCAAGGTGTGCGTATGGAAGTTATTGAATCCAAACAGGCATTCCTATTCAGTTTGGTCAATCCATTTGGGACGGAGCCTGTTCGAATACCCGTAGACGAGAAGGAGAGCGGTTGTGTTATTGCCTGTAAAAAGTCGCTTGGGCCATCGTTTGGACAAGACTATTGGTCAGAAAAATACCTACACATTTCAAATAATGCGCAGTCATCTCGATCAAGTTATAGTCGTCTACGAGAAAAATTTTCGTGCCCTGGAGGAAAACAAGGAGATTTGTTCTTCACGGGTACTAAAGATTTTACCGTCGATGATTACGAAGTGTTTGAATTTTACTAGTGATAATTTTCGTACTCTATCCACAAGTGTAGTGGGACTGGCTAAGGACGTCCGTAAGTGGAAAATTGATTCCACCTTTGTGAAAGAGGTAGATTTAAAGACTGGATCCATAAAGTGAACTTCAGAACGTAGTTTTAAATTTAACATTGTAAATGAAGAGAGAATTAGGTTCGAAAGTTTGTGCAATGATATTTTAAACTTTTCATAACAAACAAAAAAATTGCATTGAGGGGGTGGACTTTGCGTTGTTTGTTGTAAGGTAGCTAGCCCATGATCTATCCTTTGACCTTTGTGAAAGAGGTAGATTTATAGACTGGATCCATAAAGTGAACTTCAGAACGTAGTATTAAATTTAATATTGTAAATGAAGAGAGAATAAGGTCCAAAGTTTGTACAATGATAAATTAACCCTTTAATGAAAAACAAAAAAAGGCATTGACGGGGCGGATTTTGCCTTCTTTGTTGTAAGGTAGCTAAGCCCAATCTAACCTTGACAAATAAAATTAATGCAATGAATCTACTAGGAAGGTTTCTTACACCGATCACTTTGTTTTCTAATTTTGTATTAATTATGAGGTTGCTATAGAAATATGTTGTTGCCGTTACAATAGACCAGGTTAGGCTTATTTTCCTTGTGCATTTTGTGCCCACTGAATGTCATGTAACGGTACTCAAAGGAGTATTATTTTCTTTCAAAATAAAGCTCATTAAAGTAAATGATTGAACCTAGGAGAGTCATGTCATAAGTAGGTGGAATATGAACCTACGGGTGATGAAGTACTAAATAAGTGTTATTCTTGACAGTGACTGACGGTTCGGCAAACTGTGCGGTAGTCATCTTTTGAGTCAGTGGTCAAAAAGTTGCTTCCTTGATTTTCAAAAAGACAAAGTACCCCGGGGGAAACTCAAAAAGTTGTATACAGGGAGGCTCCGCCCCGAGGTCCAACCCCGTACCCGCTTAGAACTTTCCATCCCTTTAAACTGCTATAAATGCTCTGTCTAAATAAATCTCAAAAACCAGAACGTTTTCTGGACTTTCTCACAGTCATAAAATCAGCTGTTAGTCGTTCTGGTCCTTTTTACCGAACCAAATGACAGATTTCCCTACGCTTTCATATAGTTCAACAAGTGAAACCCTTCCCTTTCATATATATCTGAGGCCTGAAAACGATACCCCTTTAATTTTTGGGCGGGGCATCCCCGTATAGGTCATTATAGGGAGTGCCCCCCCCCGGGACAGAGGGTTTTAAAAATCTCCTCACTTGTTCTACATTGGAGAGACGAAATATAAGATCTATTCGACCCTTTTAAATTGCAAAGATTTGGGCATAAAATTTGGTACTTATGTCGTGGAGCTGAACACCTGTTTACGTTTCGTAGATTCTAGTTGTGTTACGTAATATTTGTAAGTGCAGAGACGACCGCACAAGTATTTTACGCGTTTTTTCGCAAGAGTTCCCTCTTTCGGTCAGCAGAGACACTTTCGCAACTGAACTCCCCACCCCCTCTCCCGGATCCGCCTCTGCTAGTGACAAGTTCGACCACATATAATGAGCTCACAGATTCATATGGAATTCGATTATTTGAAAAGAGGTATTTCTTTCATTTCTTTTTCTTAGTTTCGCGTTTTCATTTTGGTATGACAACCCTGTGTGGCCTTTTGTGATTGGTTATCTGTTGTGGTTTAATTTCATCCTTAATTCAAATTTTATTTTCATCTGCTTCACACTCTTTATCATATATCGGATTATACCGAAAAAAAAAAACAAAGAAAAATATGACTTGGGCCAAGGATTAAATAAAACTCATAAGGGGTTGAAACGTGTAACTCTCATATGTTTGCTTTGTCCGATGCTCGTGATTATTTATTTTCGAAAGTACCATATTTGGAACGAGAAGAAGAGATAACTGACCAGTCAAATTTCGTAAACAACGTGACAAAATTTTCCTTCAGGTTCCCGCGCCCGCTTAAAAAAATGGCCGACAAACGGGGGAAAAACTCCCGAAAGCCGAGAAAGCTTTCAAAGGTTGAAACCAGGAATATTACCGAAACACTCACGCCGTGAAGAAAACAAGGTTGAATACCTCGAAGGACGATTTCTTGATGAAAAGCTTCCCTTTCTCCACAAAAAGAAAGCTGAGCATTCTTTTGAACTTTCTCTGTCCATTTTTTGTCTTTTAACGGTGTATTTTAAACCTTGAAATGCAGAACTCTTGTCTTAAAACATCTGCATGGTGATCGCGCGGCAGCCATTTTGTTGAAAATGGATATCTGCCACTAAGGTTTCCAAATATGATAAAAGTGAATATTCACGAGCATTGAACGTGAGTTACACGTTTCAACCCGTTGTGAGTTTCTGATAAAACCACACTATAAATTTTTGATGGAATCCCATATTTACACGTGATTGAAGTTGATCGAGCTCTTTCCGAGGCAGGTCATTTCTAAAATGAATGACAGAAGTCAGGAAGAAGAGGCATTGTCTCAGGCGCAAATCCTTGCTAACGTCGAAAGACAAATCAACGCAGCTACAGCTGCAATTAGTGAGGCTTGTAAGCAACTGCAACAAGAAGCAGACAAGCTTCATAACGAGCGGGAAACATTCGATCAAATGTCCAAGAAAATAGAAAGTACGCAGATTTCTGAGACGGTTAACCTCAACATCGGTGGCCAGCATTTTACCACAACTCGCACAAACGCTGACCAAGGACCCAAACTCGTACTTTGCTGCTATGTTTTCGGGAAGGTTTTCATTAAAGCGTTCTGAAGATGGTGCGATTCAGACGATTGAAATCGATCGAGATGGAAAACACTTCCGCCATATACTTAACTACCTGCGTGATGGGAAGTTATCTTTACCGGAAGAGGCCACGTGCACTGATCTGGAGGAAATCGAGACAGAAGCCACTTATTACCAGATACAAGGAATTATCGACTCTGAATTTCATGGTCATTGAAAAACTGTGGCATTATCTTCTATAAGCCCAAACTTGAGTAAACATTGAAGATTTTTAGCGTTTTGGCTGAGTTTGTGCTTTGGGAGTTGTCTATTGTTTCTAGTCTGTCATTTATACAGCATTCTTGTTCAGCACGAGTGCAATGAGCACGCTTGGCTGACTTCCGAATGCTCACCGAGATATTCCCGTCACGAGTTGGTTTAATTATTGGCTTGCATTATACCTATGAAAAAATGATATTTTTTTAATAGTAAGTAGATTTAGTGTGTAGCACTTCTTGATTTTTTTGCAAAGGCACAAGAAGCACGAGAATTGATTAAAAATTGTGTTAAACCTCTATGTATCACGCGATGGCCTGTCTCACTGTACCAAAATTATCATATCTTGGTGAGCATTCGGAAGTCAGCCAAGCGCGGTCATTGAACGCGTGCTGAACAAGAATGCTGTATAATGACAGACTAGAAACAATAGACAACTCCCAAAGCACAAACTCAGCCAAAACGCTAAAAATCTTCAATGTTTACTCAAGTTTGAGCTTATGGAAGATAATGCCACAGTTTTTCAATGGCCATGGAATTCAGAGTCCGGGTAGTTAGTTAATCAGTTGTGGCCTTGAAAAAATTTGAAGGAAAAAAAACTACGAACTTTTAAGAAAATGCTTTTTTCGTGAGAAGGACTCTTAAACGCTGACAAACGTCAACAAATAGCGAAAACTGTAATTTCTATATGTTTGCTTTGCTCGAAATCGCTCGCATTTACAAGGCCCTAAAGCGTTTTGCTGACTTGCAAGGACCCATCTGTTATAAGGATGCCCAAAATAAAGAGATGAATCTCATAGTTTATTAGATATAATCCGTGTAAAGTTTGCTTATCATTTTCGCATAAATTATGACCTAAATTTGGAAACCGCTGAATTTCTCGAATTGGGTCTTTGCGATTTTGGTGAAACTCTGTTCAGCGCAAGGCACTAATGCGCACTATGTGTAGCCGAGAGATTTTCACGAAAAAATGCCGGCAACCGCAGATTTTCGACTCAGACCTCAAAGGGGCGTGGCAATATAACCACGTGACATTTACTCCGATCGCCAAAAATTTTATGTCATATTGTAGATTGATCTATATGTTATCGATTCTATGTGTTAGACTTACGATAAAAGTAAAGGTGGGGATACCAGAGAGCTTCAAAGTAGGATGGTACCCCCCCCAAAAAAAAAACTGGGTCGAGTCACCTTAATGTTGATAAACGTGGGCATAACGCCGCACGTGCTGGTGAAAAGTGATTTTTGTGAATTCATTATTCACGCGGGTAGACTTTCAGTTAGTACCGTTCTAAAGTCGTATTTCAAGACCAAATTTATACGCGACATGACGAGAGGGTGGATTGAGGGTCAGTTTTAAATATAACTTGAGTCACATCAGCAGATCAGTACTCGTCTGAATTAGTGTACAGTCACCAGGTTTTTATAGAGGCCCTGTTTGGGGTTTTAGCGGGAGTAAGGTATAACCGGCGAAAATATTTTTAAGATAGATGTTTTTAAAAATAAATCCTTTGGATAGCCAAAAATGGTGGATTTAGGGATAACGGGAACTATAATCATTAAGATGATAAATACTTCAACCCCCCTTAATTAGGACCGGATAGTTTTGAATGAACGTTCATTAAACTTTGCTGCATGTATTCGGCCAAATATAGTGACAACAGGGTCAGTTAAAAGTTTGTAAAGAATATTTAATTTTCTCCTCAAGGTGTGCGTATGGAAGTTATTGAATCCAAACAGGCATTTCTATTCAGTTTGGTCAATCCATTTGGGACGGAGCCTGTTCGAATACCCACAGACGAGAAGGAGAGCGGCTGTGTTATTGCCTGTAAAAAGTCGCTTGGGCCATCGTTTGGACAAGACTATTGGTCAGAAAAATACCTACACATTTCAAATAATGCGCAGTCATCTCGATCAAGTTATAGTCGTCTACGAGAAAAATTTTCGTGTCCTGGAGAAAAACAAGGAGATTTGTTCTTTACGGGTACTAAAGATTTTACCGTCGATGATTACGAAGTGTTTGAATTTTACTAGTGATAAGTTTCGTACTCTATCCACAAGCGTAGTGGGACTGGATAAGGACGTCCGTGAGTGGAAAATTAATTCCACCTTTGTGAAAGAGGTAGATTTATAGACTGGATCCATAAAGTGAACTTCAGAACCGTAGTATTAAATTTAATATTGTAAATGAAGAGAGAATTAGGTCCAAAGTTTGTGCAATGATAAATTAACCTTTTAATGAAAAACAAAAAAAGGCGTTGAGGGGGCGGATTTTGCGTTGTTTGTGTTAAGGCTAGCTAAGCCCAACCTATCCTTGACAAAAAAAGTAATGAAATGAATCTAGTAGGAAGCTTTCTTACACCAGTCAGTTTGTTTTCTAATTTAATTTGTATTAATTATGAGGTTGCTATAGAAATATGTTGTTGCCCTTACAATAGACTAGGTTAGGCTTATTTTCCTTGTGCATTTTGTGCCCACTAGATGTCATGTGACGGTACTCAAGGGAGTATATATTTTCTTTCAGAATAAAACACATTAAAGTAAATGATTGAACCCAGGAGAATCATGTCATAAGTAGGTGGAATATGATCCTACGGGTGAATGAAGTACTAAATAAGTTTGTTATTCTTGACAGTGACTGACGGTTCGGCAAACTGTGCGGTAGTCATCTTTTGAGTCAGTGGTCAAAGAGTTGCTTCCTTGATTTCCAGCAAGACAAAGGACGCGGGGGGACTCAAAAAAGTTTATACTGGCAGGCTTTGCCTTGAGGTCCAACCCCGTACCCGTTTAGAACTTTCCATCCCTTTAAACTGCCATAAATGCTCTGTCTAAATAAATCTCAAAAACAAGAACGTTTTCTCGACTTTTTTACAGTCATAAAATGCCTCTGTTAGCCCTTTTGAACCTTTTTACCGACCAAAATGACAGATTTCCTTACCCTTTCATTGAGTTGAACAAGTGAAATCCCTTCCCTTTTATATACCTAAGGCCTGCAAAAATGTACCCCTTTAATTTTGGGGTGGGGCCTCCCCGTATAGGTTGAGTGTCCCCCCCCCCCAGGAACAAAGGGTTTTAAAAATCTCCTCACTTGTTCTACGCTGGAGAGACAAACTATAAGATCTATTCGACCCTTTCAAACTGCAAAGATTTGGACATAAAATTTCGTATCCTCTTGTTTTCGCCCCGCCTCCACAATCCTTATGTTATGGAGCTGAACTCTGTTTACGTTTCGTAGATTCTAGTTGTGTTACGTAATATTTGGAAGTTTAGAGAAGACTGCACGAGTATTTTACGCGTTCTTTCGCAAGAGCTCCGTCTTTCGGTCAGCAAAGACACTTTTGCAACTGAACTCTATAGTGAATCCACTTATTTACTACCACAGAAATCGTCGCTTTAGAAACATTGTTCTCGAGATTTTATACATCAGATAAGTTCCTGGAACAAAGCCAACAGTGGTTCCCATGGTGCAATATGTCAGAACAACTCGTTTCTCAGTGGAGAGTACTCTAGAGCGACCAAATGCACACAGTCGTCGCCTTTTGTCAAGATCAACGTCATGCGAATTAGTCAACGTTAAGATATTAAATGGCGCTATGAGGACAAAACCTGTGTCAGCTCCTTCACTAACCAGATTACACAGCAACTCTTTGGACCCCAGCCTCCAGCAGCTGAACAACATCCCCGTCCATTTTAACAATTGTGTCAATCTCACCCACAAAGGTCCTAAGGACATGACACTTTTCCAAGATGTTAACTTTCATCGTCCAAAGAATCAACTGAAAAAAGTTAGGAAGCTAAAAATAATTCTCCTAATCTGTCTGATCCTCAGGAAGATTTGAAAAAGGAACAATACGCGGGCGTTCAATCACACAAAAGTGAGTTACTATCTCAGTCTAAGGCGCCCCTCTCCCCCTTATTTTTAGACCAAACTGAGGCCGAAAAAAGTTTTTTTGGAGACTGGGCCTCCCCCTTATCTCAGGGTCTGGATGACTGCCCCCCCCCCACCTATCTGAACGTCTGGATCCGCCGCTGTCAGTGACAAGTTCCACTAGATACAGTGACCTCGCAGGTTTATATGGAATTCAATTTAAAATTTGAAAAGAAGTATTTCTTTCTTTTCTTTTTCTTTGTTTAGCGTTTTCATTTTGGCATGACAACGCTGTATGACGTTGTGTGATTGCTTATCTGTTGTGGTTTAATTTCATCCTTATTTCAAATTTTATTTTCATAACTGCTTCACACTCTTTATCATACATCATTATACCCCCCAAAAAACAAAGGACAATATGACTTGAGCCAAGGTTTAAATAAAACCACAACATATGTTTTTGAGGGAATCCCATATTTACAAGTGATTTACGGTACAAACACTTTGAAACATATAGGAAGCTAAGCACCAGCAATTTCTGAATTCAGTTGGACTTTTGACAAATATTAAAAAACACGTAGGTTTTAATTCATTTCTTCTGTTCTTCCATTTTAGCTCGCATTGGTTTAGATGGTGGTTTCTCAAAAAGTTCTCTTACGCGAAAGAAAAAACAATGGAAGAGAACCTCTCATTCACCTATCAAATTTAAGAGGAAAAACGCAGAGTTTAAGTTTCCTCTCTGATCTTGGTAGCCTGGGGATAGAACTGTCCCTCCTCGCTCCTCGCTCCTCGCTGCTAGGGACGTCCCCAGGGACTTCCCTAGCAACGAGGAGCGAGGAGCGAGGAGCGAGGAGCGAGGAGCGAGGACAGACAGCTGTATTCGCAGGTTATGATCTTGATGGCTGGTTTTGCACTATTGACATTAATTAAGTAATATTCAGCTTATGTAAATGCTCCTTTTTTCTTCGAGTGTCTTATTAAACTTAAACGTATAAACAAACAGATTTCTTCAGGAACTGCTAATTGTTTCCGCACCCGAGCCTATCCTGCCGTAAATGAACCTTGAAATAACCTTTAAGCTTTTTTAGATTTATTTCAATGAACTTATTCGCCTTTCGGTGAACTTGTTTTTCAGTAGTTGTACAGTGAAGTAAAGCAAATTGAGGTTTAAGTTTTTTTTTGAAAGTCTGGTAAATGTTATTTTTGGTGATGGGGAGACTGACCAGAAAACGCTAGTGTGAGCATTCTCCGGGGGACCCCCGAGATCATAAACCTGAGTACATACTACGGGGGACGGGGGCATGTTCATCCTGTAAACTTTGAGATTTAGCACTCCTGAAGTGGCTACATATGCATATAAAACATTGTCCTTTTAAGAGTATTTTACACACCTTTTAAAATCAGAACTTTGGTGCTCCTGTAATTTGTAATTTGTTTGCCCATGGAGCACTTAGGAGTTCTTAAGAACTCTTGAAACATGTCCGTGCGTTCCAGATCGAATTGTAATTGGACATTTTGGTTTTTATGGAGGCAGGAAAACCAGAGTACCCCGAGAAAAGGAAGAGAACTAACAACAAACTCAACCTACATATGGTATCGACGCCAGGATTTAAACCAGGGCCGCATTGGTCGGAGGCGAGTGCTCTGTGCCACCCCTTGTTCCTTAAAATCATGTTGATACTCTACAGGTTGGAAAGTCGTTCTTAAAGACCCCTTTAAAAAAGCATGGGGCCCGCAAAAGCCCCCAGCCCCACCTCCCTCAGCCGATTCCCTGCAAAAGAACGGAAAACTATAAAGATACTTCCTGGCTTTGCGAAAGAAATGAGATTCAACATATGGTTCGTTTTTGTCCTCGACAAAACTGTTTTCCGCCTCTTGTTTTCGTTCTTTTTCCCACTCTGTGAAAACTAATCGTACCACCGCCTGCAAAAGTCAGTTTAGTTTAAAACAATATATGACTGATTGTTTACTTTCCGGGACTCTTGATTAATTAGCATCCATTATATCGATGGCTATCAAGGATAATTGGAATCGAGATCAATAAATCGTCTACCAACTCGAACAGTGAGAGTCAGTTTATCAGGGAGTTCATACACGAGCAATTATGAACTTTTCGTCCGAGAGCAGTTTAGCTTTTTCTTGCCCACGGTATCCCAGTTTTGTGTGGGACCTAACTGACAAAGCTTTCCCCTGGATAATGGTCGCAATCGTATCTATTGCTTCTCCCGCTGCAGTCATTTTGAACATTTTGGTTATCGCAGCAGTGAGATCAAGAAAGGAGCTGCAAAAAAATCCAAACATTTTGTTGTCGAGCATGGCTGTTGCGGATGTTTTGGTAGGTGCGATAAATATGCCTTTATCCGCCACTGTTGACTTTGTTATTTCCCGGCAAGTTTTTAAGGATCATATTTGCTTGGTAGACTTGATTAATGTCTACTTGATGTACGCTTTAGCAGCATGTACCCTATACCATTTGATCCTTATCGCTTGGGAGAGGTACCAGGCAATACGGAATTGTTATGAACACAAAGTGAAAATGACAAGACCCCGCCTGAAGAAACTCGCCATAACAGCTTGGTTCTTAGCCGCGTTAGCACCAATTCCAAGCATTGCACTAAAAGCCCCGGGCATTTACTACGATATAATTTGTTATATCGTTGAATTTCTCATGTTGATTCTAATCGCTTATTTTTACATCATGGTGTATCGTGAAACGCGCAAACGTAAACTGGTTACCAAAGTCACCGTTCTGGTGAAAACAAAACTTGAAAACAGAGTGGCTATGACATGCGCATTGACTTCAGCAGCTGTGATTCTTTCCTTTGTTCCCACGGTAACTGTTAAATTGTTGGGAGATTTGTACCCAGGTTTTCGCAAGAGTTCCGTCTTCCGGTCAGCAGAGACACTATTGCAAATGAACTCTATAGTGAATCCACTAATTTACTGCTACAGGAACCGTCGCTTTAGAAACATCATTCTCGAGATTTTGTGCATCAGAAAACCTCAAGAGACTAAGCCAACAGTCCTTCCCATGCAATATGTCAGATCAAAGGATCTTTCTTCAATGGGAGGTACTCAAAAACAACGAAATGCGCACAGCCGTCGCCTTTTGTCAAGATCAGAGTCATGCGAATTAGCCAACGTGACAGTATTAAGTGGTGCAATGAAGAAAAGATCTGTATCAGCTCCTTCACTAATCAGATCACACAGCAACTCTTTTCAGAGTCCCGGACCGCCGAACAACCCCTCGTCCATTTTAACAGTTGTTGCGACAGTCCACCCAAAAAGGCTTGAAGGATATTTCTCAATATTTCGTTTATCCTCGCCCAAAAACTCAAAGAAAAGTTGGGATGCTAAACGTAATTCTTTTAATGGGTCTGATCCTCCAGAGGATTTGAAGAAGGAGCAATTCTCGTCCAATAACATGAAAGTGAATAAGCGTCTGACAAAATCTGCCACACTTATTAGTGGCGCAGAGGGTACATGTGCAGTTCCGTCACGTTCTCGTAAAGGCCTCTTGAAAAGAAGTATGTCGGCCCCATCGTTCAGTAAGCATGATCAGAAGTACTTGCAATGATACACTACAGTAGCCAGATCCCACTGTAGTCGACCTGGACAGTTTCCACCTTAAAAAGTCGTGAAAAGTGTTCGGCAGAATTTTCATGTCATTAGAAAACATTAAAAGTTATCATCGTCCTCGGTGAACGCGCTTGATTTGACATTCGTATGGTTCTGGATTTACGAGTGCTAGACTTGCAATTGCAATTTTAAAACCAGTTGTAGCCCGTTCCAAGCTCCAAGATAGAGAGGGAATCAGATCGAGAAAAGTTGCGCGAAAACCGCGTGGGGGAGACGGAGTAGCGGAGCCTGTAAGAATTGTTTTCAATACCTCATTCCGATGAACCAGCTCTTGGTATACCCTATGATTGGTCAACAATTGTCACAGTTTACTTCAACAGTGATGTCAATCATTTGGTTTCGCGCGTACAGAGTCTAACAAACATGTCGAACACGTGAATCGAAACCCTCCTGTACCACGCACCTTTTGACGTTTTGATATTTGACATTTTGACAGGAGAAATGGCTTTTCAGTGAGTGGGCGGGGTAGTGAGGGGATTGAGGTATTTTAAAAGATTCTTAAATGCTCTCCGCTTATCTTTTTTGCCTTCTTTTGCTCGTTAGTTATTTCACCGCTCACTCGACGATAGAGCGATTTTCGTATGACCTTGAAATGAAAACGCGCGAACAAAACAGAAACAACAAACGAACGGAAATAGAGCGATTTGATTGGTTTATAGAACAGACACAAACGCGCGTGGCTCTTAGTTGGTTAAGCAAACGCTCGAAAGAAAAAGCTTCATGCCTCATGGCCTAAACCACCGTGACGAATTATTGTAATCAATCTCTTTAGTATTTTTCCTTTCCAATTTCTGTGTTGTACCTCATTTCCGCCTCTCCCTTTTAAACAATTTTTAGTGCGACATTCTCCATCTCTATAATATTGTGACTGCTACAAAAGTTCAGTAACATCTGTAAACCTGAAGAAGGCTGGTATGGCCAGCCCAAATATTTTTATAAAAAACAATACACTTTGTTTTAAATCAGCATTGCAGTAGTCTTTGGACTTCTCGTTCTTGGTTCTTTATATTTTGGCTGACTAGATCTCTTTTCTAGAGATCCAACGTTTACAACTAGCAGGATCTTCGAACACGGTTTTTGCAGTTATCCTTCTCCATATTAGGGTCTTCTTTGGCGGGAAAACGAAGAGGCCATGTTTTGATCTTTTTATGCATTGGCTGATAAAACAAATAACAAACACTTACCGAAACCATTTTTCAAGGTCATACGAAAATCGCTCTATATGAGAGTTTGTGACTCGGGACACAAGAAAATGTCTGTTGTCCGTATTAACCGCTGTCCGTAATAAGCGGGTTAATTTCAGAGGAAATATATGACCATTTCGTCGGGACAAAGGAAACTGTTAATTATAAACGGGTGTCCGTATTAAGCCGTTGTCCTTAGACTAGCGGGGTTTCACTCTAGTGAATCTAATAATCTTTTCATTATCGCCAAAATACTGAGCTTCCTGTCGTTGAAGGCGCTTTGCATCGACCCTGAGGGGGATACTTGTTTTAGTATTTACCGAATTAAATAAATGAAAGAAAGAGTAACTTTTGGAAATAAAAGACGTCACTTAGTAACAGCTTTGTTTCCGTTTTATGCACGATTCAATTTGACCCGTTACCATCCCCTAGGACAAGTTTAGCTTTTCGGGCCATGGGGTGGGGAAATGTTTGACGCGGTCCTGTCCTGTGGGTAGGAGGCTGGGGCAAATCAAAATTAATTTCCCTTTGATTTTGCGAAGTACATGTTATTTAACGCGCGGTTTGCACGAAGCTGCGCGACTCAAGACTGCTTTTCTTCAAGGGTAAACGTAGGAATTGGCTGGAGCGTGGTTGAAGAGCAGTGACCCATTAAAATTAACGTCTATATTTGAAGGTACCGTATTTATTCGATTAACCGCCCTGGGCGCTTATTAAATTTTTGGACCTTGAGAGTGGGCGCTTATTCGAGGTGGGCGCTTATTCGAGGCTGGGCGCTTATTAAATTTTCACTATTTTCAGGAAGTGAAGTATGTTTATTTTGCAACAAAACAATAAATGCTAATAACAAAACGCGAAGAAGTAACAAAGAAAGGTTTCTGTATAATACTCTGAAGAAAGCTCCGTCCTCCGGGAAGTCTCTTATTAGAATTTATTCACTCAAGTGGGTGGGGTGGGGGTGAGCGCTTATTTGAGTTTGATTGGGAGGAGGAGGGGGTGGGCGCTTATTCGAGGCTGGGCGCTTATTAACTTTTTCTGCCTTTAGGATGGGCGCTTATTCGAGGTGGGCGCTAATTCGAGGTTGGGCGCTTATTCGAATAAATACGGTATGTTTTAAAATTGTAGACGAATGTGCGTATGGTGCGTACTCGAATGGATATTTGTTTGTAAAACAAACAAAGAAATATTTCTTCAGCCTAGTTTAATAATAAGCCAACAAATAAATAGACTGTATATGAAAACAGATTCAACGCTTTTAATATATACAAATAGACAAAGATTCAGTCCAGTGTTAATTTGAAGTGTTCAATCAGGGAGGCGCTCACTAGTTTTTTTCTTTCGTTTCGTTTTCAAACGTGTTGTTCATGTTTTAACTACCATGTATTATCCTTCTCTCAATAAACTCTAGAAAAACGTTTAGGAAAGTTCTGAAAACGTCTAGCTTTGCTATTGTACGAAATCACTTTTGCTCCCAAAAATATGTACCGGGAAAAAAACCTATAAGAGGTCAATCAGGAGCTCGGAGCTGGCGAATTGCCTCCAACTGCATTCCCGGGGGTGGGGAATAGACCACTAGGAAAGAAAAAAATTCCAAATCCCCGAGGTATGCCCGGGGGGGATGCTAACAGGTCAAAGTGAACCATGCATTAATTTTGACTAGTCCCTAGGGCTCACTATTGTGCACGGCAGATGCGTTTCGGGTCACATGGTCCGAGAAAGTTTTTGAGGGCGTCTCAATCCCCCGGCCCTTCGTCTCGGATACGTCACCGAAATGCATTGACCGTGAGGGCCTGGAAAGTCGCCGTACAGGGACTAGGCAAGCATTAATTGACAGTGTTTCGCTGATTTGTCGAGTGCATTTTCAATATTTTATTGTTCCAAATTCAGTAAGAAAACACTTTTCTTTTTTATTACCTTAAAGTAATCACCACCAAGCCAATTTCCGTTGCAGTTGCCATACAGCGTCATTTTGCATCGATTGTGGGAGTTTTGAGGAACCGATTATCTTCCATATTTACAGTACCGACTAACAGACAAATGTTAAGGCATTTAGAACACTTTTTAAATAACCTTTCTGTGAAATTGATGAATGGATGTTCAAAAGGTTCTTATTAAAAGTCTACGTAAGTCTTATGTTTATCTTATGAAAAGTCTATGTTCTTTCGGAAAGTCACGCATTAAAATTACCGACTGGGATCGATGACAAAATTTATTGAAATAGGAATCACAATTCTTGTAGACATTTTTAAAGGAATCAAGAAGCATTGTGAAAAAAGAACCCACAGGAATCATGAATATCAAGATTCAAAGGATTCCACTTCCACCCCGCGAAATGTGGAATGTTTTCTCAAGCTATCATGACCCGAATCTGAGATCACAAATCTCTCGAAAAACGGCACTCTACCCATTCTTACTTGTGAGCTTGGGCTACTTGTAAGTAAATTTGTTTTAAATCACTTTTTCAGTAGTGTTGAGCAAAATGGTGTCCAAATTGTCCTTTTTGAAAGACTGGCTCATTTTAAGCTATTTAAAATTTGAGTAACAAAAATTTCTTTCAAAATATTCTACAAAAGCGGGGCGGAATGAAACTAATGACATTTCCCGTTCTTATACACGAAACACAATCCAACAAATGACTCGCTCATTTCCCTAGTACAACTGTTACTCCTCTTCTCTTTTCGTTTTTCCTGCAGGAGGAAATTATTCGCAAACATAATTCAATGCAATACAAGAAAATTCGCCGGTGTCGCAAAACTACGCCGAAAGCGTTCACGTACATAAAACCAACTATGTCGGCAATCGAGAACTAACTCAAAAAACTCGATAGACCGACTGTGAACACAGTTATACACAAGCAACTATGAACTTTTCATCCGACAACATGTTAGTTTTTTCTTGTCCATACTATCCCACTTTTTTGTGGGACCTAACTGACAAAGTTTTCCCCTGGATAATGGTCGCAATCGTATCTATCGCATCTCCCGCTGCAGTCATTTTAAACATTTTAGTCATCGCAGCAGTAAGATCAAGGAAGGAACTGCAAAAATATCCAAACATTCTGTTGTCGAGCATGGCTGTTGCGGATATTTTGGTAGGTGCGATAAATATGCCTTTATCAGCCACTGTTGACTTTGTTATTTCCCGGCAAGTTTTTGATGATCGTATTTGCTTAGTAGACTTGCTTAATGTCTACTTGATGTACGCTTTAGCGGCATGTAACCTATACCATTTGATCCTTATCGCTTGGGAGAGGAACCAGGCAATACGGAATTGTTATGAATACAAAGTGAAAATGACAAGAAGCCGCCTCAAGAAACTCGCCATAACAGCTTGGTTTTTAGCCGCGTTAACACCAATTCCCAGCATTGCACTAAAATCCCCGGGCATTTACTACGATATAATTTGTGATATCGTTGGATTTTTCATGTTGATACTAATCGCTTATTTTTACATCATGGTGTATCGTGAAACGCGCAAACATAAACGGATTACCACAGTCACCGTTCTGGTGAAAACAAAACTTGAAAACAGAGTGGCTATGACATGCGCATTGACTTCAGCAGCTGTGATTCTTTCCTTTGTTCCCACGGTAACTGTTGGCTTGTTGGGAGATTTGTACCCAGGTTTTCGCAAGAGTTCCGTCTTCCGGTCAGCAGAGACACTATTGCAAATGAACTCTATAGTGAATCCACTAATTTACTGCTACAGAAACCGTCGCTTTAGAAACATCATTCTCGAGATTTTGTGCATTAGAAAACCTTATGAGACTAAGCCAACAGTCCTTCCCATGCAATATGTCAGATCAAAGGATCTTTCTTCAATGGGAGGTACTCAAAAACAACCAAATGCGTTCAGCCGTCGCCTTTTGTCAAGATCAGAGTCATGCGAATTAGCCAACGTGACAGTATTAAGAGGTGCAATGAAGAAAAGATCTGTATCAGCTCCTTCACTAATCAGATCACACAGCAACTCTTTTGAGAGTCCCGGGCCGCAGAACAACCCCTCGTCCATTTTAACAGTTGTTGCGACAGTCCACCCACAAAGGCTTGAAGGATATTTCTCAATAATTCGTTTATCCTCGCCCAAAAACTCAAAGAAAAGTTGGGATACTAAACGTAATTCTTTTAATGTGTCTGATCCTCCAGAGGATTTGAAGAAGGAGCAATTCTCGTCCAATAACACGAAAGTGAATAAGCGTCTGACAAAATCTGCCACACTTATTAGTGGCGCAGAGGGTACATGTGCAGTTCCGTCACGTTCTCGTAAAGGCCTCTTGAAAAGAAGTATGTCGGCCCCATCGTTCAGTAAGCATGATCAGAAGTACTTGCAATTATACACTACAGTAGCCAGATCCCACTGTAGTCGACCTGGACAGTTTCCACCTTAAAAAGTCGTGAAAAGTGTTCGGCAGAATTTTCATGTCATTAGAAAACATTAAAAGTTATCATCGTCCTCGGTGAACGCGCTTGATTTGACATTCGTATGGTTCTGGATTTACGAGTGCTAGACTTGCAATTGCAATTTTAAAACCAGTTGTAGCCCGTTCCAAGCTCCAAGATAGAGAGGGAATCAGATCGAGAAAAGTTGCGCGCGAAACCGCGTGGGGAGACGGAGTAGCGGAGCCTGTAAGAATTGTTTTCAATACCTCATTCCGATGAACCAGCTCTTGGTATACCCTATGATTGGTCAACAATTGTCACAGTTTACTTCAACAGTGATGTCAATCATTTGGTTTCGCGCGTACAGAGTCTAACAAACATGTCGAACACGTGAATCGAAACCCTCCTGTACCACGCACCTTTTGACGTTTTGATATTTGACATTTTGACAGGAGAAATGGCTTTTCAGTGAGTGGGCGGGGTAGTGAGGGGATTGAGGTATTTTAAAAGATTCTTAAATGCTCTCCGCTTATCTTTTTTGCCTTCTTTTGCTCGTTAGTTATTTCACCGCTCACTCGACGATAGAGCGATTTTCGTATGACCTTGAAATGAAAACGCGCGAACAAAACAGAAACAACAAACGAACGGAAATAGAGCGATTTGATTGGTTTATAGAACAGACACAAACGCGCGTGGCTCTTAGTTGGTTAAGCAAACGCTCGAAAGAAAAAGCTTCATGCCTCATGGCCTAAACCACCGTGACGAATTATTGTAATCCATCTCTTTAGCATTTTTCCTTTCCAATTTCTGTGTTGTACCTCATTTCCGCCTCTCCCTTTTAAACAATTTTTATTGCGACATTCTCCATCTCTATAATATTGTGATTGCTACATAAGTTCAGTAACATCTGTAACCCTGAAGAAGGCTGGTATGGCCAGCCCAAATATTTTTATAAAAAACAATACACTTTGTTTTAAATCAGCATTGCAGTAGTCTTTGGACTTCTCGTTCTTGGTTCTTTATATTTTGGCTGACTAGATCTCTTTTCTAGAGATCCAACGTTTACAACTAGCAGGATCTTCGAACACGGTTTTTGCAGGTATCCTTCTCCATATTAAGGTTTTCTTTGGCGGGAAAACGAAGAGGCCATGTTTTGATCTTTTTATGCATTGGCTGATAAAACAAATAACAAACACTTACCGAAACCATTTTTCAAGGTCATACGAAAATCGCTCTATATGGGAGTTTGTGACTCGGGACACAAGAAAATGTCTGTTGTCCGTATTAACCGCTGTCCGTAATAAGCGGGTTAATTTTAGAGGAAATATATGACCATTTCGTCGGGACAAAGGAAACTGTTAATTATAAACGGGTGTCCGTATTAAGCCGTTGTCCTTAGACTAGCGGGGTTTCACTCTAGTGAATCTAATAATCTTTTCATTATCGCCAAAATACTGAGTTTCCTGTCGTTGAAGGCGCTTTGCATCGACCCTGAGGGGGATACTTGTTTTAGTATTTACCGAATTAAATAAATGAAAGAAAGAGTAACTTTTGGAAATAAAAGACGTCACTTAGTAACAGCTTTGTTTCCGTTTTATGCACGATTCAATTTGACCCGTTACCATCCCCTAGGACAAGTTTAGCTTTCGGGCCATGGGGTGGGGAATTGTTTGACGCGGTCCTCTCCTGTGGGTAGGAGGCTGGGGCAAATCAAAATTAATTTCCCTTTGATTTTGCGAAGTACATGTTATTTAACGCGCGGTTTGCACGAAGCTGCGCGACTCAAGACTGCGTTTCTTCAAGGGTAAACGCAGGAATTGGCTGGAGCGTGGTTGAAGAGCAGTGACCCATTAAAATTAACGTCTATATTTGAAGGTATGTTTTAAAATTGTAGACGAATGTGCGTATGGTGCGTACTCGAATGGATATTTGTTCGTAAAAGAAATAAAGAAATATTTCTTCAGCCTAGTTCAAAATAAGCCAACAAATAAATAGATTGTATATGAAAACAGATTCAACGCTTTTAATATATATAAATAAACAAAGATTCAGTCCAGTGTTAATTTGAAGTGTTCAATCAGGGAGGCGCTCAATAGTTTTTTTTCTTTCGTTTCGTTTTCAAACGTGTTGTTCATGTTTTAACTACCATGTATTATCCTTCTCTCAATAAACTCTAGAAAAACGTTTATGAAAGTTCTGAAAACGTCTAGTTTTGCTATTGTACGAAATCACTATTGCTCCCAAAAATATGTACCGGGAAAAAAACCTATAAGAGGTCGATCAGGAGCTCGGAGCTGGCGAATTGCCTCCAACTGCATTCCCGGGGGTGGGGAATAGACCACTAGGAAAGAAAAAAATTCCAAATCCCCGAGGTATGCCCGGGGGGGATGCTAACAGGTCAAAGTGAACCATGCATTAATTTTGACTAGTCCCTAGGGCTCACTATTGTGCACGGCAGATGCGTTTCGGGTCACGTGGTCCGAGAAAGTTTTGAGGGCGTCTCCCGGCCCTTCGTCTCGGATAAGTCACCGAAATGCATTGACCGAGAGGGCCTGGAAAGTCGCCGTACAGGGACTAGGCAAGCATTAATTGACAGTGTTTCGCTGATTTGTCGAGTGCATTTTCACTATTTTATTGTTCCAAATTCAGTAAGAAAACACTTTTCTTTTTTATTACCTTAAAGTAATCACCACCAAGCCAATTTCCGTTGCAGTTGCCATACAGCGTCATGTTGCATCGATTGTGGTTGTTTTGAGGAACCGATTATCTTCCATATTTACAGTACCGACTAACAGACAAATATTAAGGCATTTAGAATACTTTTTAAATAACCTATTGTGAAATTGATGAATGGATGTTCAAAAGGTTCTTATTAAAAGTCTACGTAAGTCTTATGTTTATCTTATGAAAAGTCTATGTTCTTTCGGAAAGTCACGCATTAAAATTACAGACTGGGATCGATGACAAAATTTACTGAAATAGGAATCACAATTCTTGTAGACATTTTTAAAGGAATCAAGAAGCATTGTGAAAAAAGAACCCACAGGAATCATGAATATCAAGATTCAAAGGATTCCACTTCCACCCCGCGAAATATGGAATGTTTTCTCAAGCTATCATGACCCGAATCTGAGATCACAAATCTCTCGAAAAACGGCACTCTACCAATTCTTACTTGTGAGCTTGGGCTACTTGTAAGTAAATTTGTTTTAAATCACTTTTTCAGTAGCGTTGAGCAAACTGGTGTCCAAATTGTCCTTTTTGAAAGACTGGCTCATTTTAAGCTATTTAAAATTTGAGTAACAAAAATTTCTTTCAAAATATTTTACAAAAGGGCGAAATGAAACTAATGACATTTCCCGTCCTTATATACGAAACACAATCCAACAAATGACTCGCTCATTTCCCTAATACAACTGTTACTCCTCTTCTCTTTTGTTTTTTTCCTGCAGGAGGAAATTATTCGCAAACATAATTCAATGCAATACAAGAAAATTTGCCGGTGTCGCAAAACTGCGCCGAAAGCGTTGACGCACATAAAACCAACTACATCGGCAATCGAGAACTAACTAAAATCAAACTTGATGGACCGACTGTCCACACAGTGATACATAAGCAACTATGAACTTTTCAACGGACAACAGGTTTGTTTTTTCTTGTCCATACTATCCCACTTTCTTATGGGACCTAACTGACAAAGTTTTCCCCTGGATAATGGTCGCAATCGTATCTATCGCATCTCCCGCTGCAGTCATTTTAAACATTTTAGTCATCGCAGCAGTAAGATCAAGGAAGGAGCTGCAAAAAAATCCAAACATTCTGTTGTCGAGCATGGCTGTTGCGGATATTTTGGTAGGTGCTATAAACATGCCTTTATCAGCCACTGTTGACTTTGTTATTTCCCGGCAAGTTTTTGATGATCGTATTTGCTTAGTAGACTTGCTTAATGTCTACTTTATGCACGCTTTAACAACGTGTACCCTATACCATTTGATCCTTATCGCCTGGGAGAGGAACCAGGCAATACGGAATTGTTATGAACACAAAGTGAAAATGACAAGAAGCCGCCTGAAGAAACTCGCCATAACAGCTTGGTTCTTAGCCGCGTTAACCCCAATACCAGGCATTGTAGTAACAGCCCAGGGCATAAACTATGATTTTATCATTGAGGCAATCTCTGCATTTTTCTTGTTAATTCTGATCTGTCTAATCCCTTATTTTTACCTCATGGTGTATCGTGAAACGCGCAAAAGTAGACTGATTACCCAAGTCACTGTTCTGGTGAAAACAAAACTCGAAAACAGAGTTGCTATGACATGCGCATTGGCTTCAGCAGCTGTAATTCCTTCCGTTGTTCACATAGTGACTGTTGGCTTGTTGGGAGATTTGTACCCAGGTTTTCGCAAGAGTTCCGTCTTCCGATCAGCAGAGACACTACTGCAAATGAACTCTATAGTGAATCCATTAATTTACTTCTACAGAAACAGTCGTTTTAGAAGCATCATTCTCGAGATTTTGTGCATCAGAAAACCTCCTGCAGCCAAGTCAAAAGTTGCTTCCATGCAACATGCCAGATCAAAGGATCTTTCTTCAATGGGAGCTACTCAAAAACAACCAAATGCGTTCAGCCGTCGCCTTTTGTCAAGATCAGCGTCATGCGAATTAGCCAACGTGACAGTTTTAAATTGTGCAATGAAGAAAAGATCTGTATCAGCTCCAACACTAATCAGATTACACAGCAACTCTTTTGACAGTTTCGAGCCGCAGAACAACTCCTCGTCCATTTTAACAGTTGTTGCGACAGTCCACCCACAAAGGCTTGAAGGATATTTCTCAATAATTCGTTTATCGTCGTCCAAAAACTCAACGAAAAGTAGGGAGGCTAAACGTAATTCTTTTAATTTGTCTGGTCCTCCAGAGGATTTGAAGGAGGATCAATTCCCGTCCAATCCTATGAAACTGAATAAGCGTCTGATAAAATCTTCCACATTTATTAGTGGCGCAGCCGGATCTTGTGCTGTTCCGTCACGTTCGCGTAAAGTCCTTTTGAAAAGAAGTATGTCGGCCCCATCGTTAGGTGAGCATGATCAGAAGTTCTTGCAATGATGCACTGCAGTAGCCAGATCCCGCCGTTGTCGACCTGGACAGTTTCCATCTTAAAAGACGTAAAAAGTTTTTGGCCGAATTTTCATGAAAGCACTGTGATGAGATAGCATGAAAAGTTATCATCGGCCTCGGTGAACGCCCTTGATTTGAGATCCATATGGTTCTGAATTTACGAGTGCTGGGCTTGCAACTGCAATTTTAAAACAGGTTGTAGCCTGTTCCAGGCTCCAAGATAGCGAGGAAATCGGGTCGAGAAAAGTTGCTCGAAAAAAGCGCGTGGGCTGGGGGAAGTCGGAGTAGCGGAGCCTGTAAGCATTGTTTTCAATGCTCATTCCGGTGTATCAGCTCTTGGTATACCCTATGATTGGTCAACAAAATGTCACAAAAAAACACTGTAACGACACGAAGGAAAAAGAAGGAAAATGCCGCCATCTGGTGAGAAACACGATCGCAATGCACTGTGGGAAGACATTCACTCGCCATTCAAATGAGATGGTATCGATTTCTGATGTTTAGACGACTCCCGATAACTCAAACATTCTGAGTACGATAACTCAATCAGAAATAGCGCTATAAAGATCGAAAAAGCTATTCAGTTTACCGTACCCAGGGTGCCAGAGACTTTTTCCTTCGTGATTGCCGGTTTCTGTCAGGCTACTGTCAGGGCGAAACGGGTCGGCCTTCGGCCCGCACCGAAGATTCCCACCGCACTGGCCTGGGACCAGGCTCTGCATTGGCGGAAAAAAGAAAAAAATAGCCTGCGAAAACAGCCGCTTCTTCTCACTCCTCGCCGCTGGGGACGTTTCTCGAGGAGGAACGTCTGCGACTCAGCGACTGAAATTCCATACTGATGTCGTAAAATCTTTCCGGAATCCGGTCATAATCGCTGATTGGACAATGTAGCAGTTACATTGTTTTAGCTATTGTTTGCTTATGACAGATAAAAGACAAAAGGATAAAAAAGTCAAATGTAAACGCGATGAATCTATAACAAAACAGTTAATATTTCGAGAATATATTCTTCTCTAGAAGAAGCATTTGAGTTTTGCTGGATCTCCTTCTCAGATGAACACAACTCTTTACCAAAATTGACCAAGAGAAGCGTAAAATTAAACAAATTTGCATTTAGAACCCCATGACTACCGGATTTATTATGTAAACATTGATCTACGTCATCAGTATGGAATTTCTGTCGCTGAGTCGCAGAAGGAGCCCATTACTGGAAGGGAACGTGTCACGGCGTTTATTTTTAGAAAGGTTTTGGCGTGAATGAAGAAAATCCCACAAACCAGTCAGCAAAACCTACAGACCTAAAAATGATAATTTTTGCCTTTTAATAACGTTGCGTTTTCCTTTTTGATATCTTATACTTCGAATGCCTTTATAGACGTGGCAAAGATTCTATTTTCGCGAGAAAAATTGCCCTAAAATGTGTCTAAAAATAAACCGGTCCGTAAAACGCCGTGACACAGGCCTAGTAAATTGGGAGTTGCTCGCTCCGGGTTATGGGCTCCTGGTTGCAGACGTTCCACCTCGCAAAACGTCCCCAGAGGCAAGGAGCGAGGAGAAACGGATGTTTTCGCAGGCTAGAGAAAATTCGGCGTGGTCGAAAAAAAAAATCGGGGAGTGAAGCAAGCTGCGATAGTTTGGGAACGGAAAAGGGTGGAGGAGCCTGGAGACATGCCTTTGATGCGGCGATCCGCCCTTCAACAATAAACTTGTCATTGAAACGTTAACACGTCAAGTTCTCATCACGGATGTCAGCGTGAGCTTATTACGTCGCTTCAAGTTTGGCTTTAATTTGTAAACAAAAAATATTTGAATTCAAGATGAAGTTAGGGACAGACCATTAGAAATCTTATTGGGGCGGGCGAAGTACAAAAAAACTATTCGCGCAAGGGAAAATTAAACAAAAAAAAATTATGCACGCCAATTAACCCTAAGAAATATTCATGCTATGGCCTAAAAAAATTCATACAAGAAATTTGATAACGAAAAAAATTCCTGCGCCTCGAAAATTCCCCCCCCCATAACTTTTCTAATGGTCCGTCCCTTAGAGTGCAAGCAACGAGGACTACTTGATTTCGATCGCCAACTCGAGTAACACCTGTTTTGGAGAAGAGAAATAAACACATTTCAGGGGAAATAGTGAGTCGGCGGGGGGGGAGTAGTCTAGTAGTCCCCCATTTTTCCTCAGTGATAGTAGAGCGAGCGAAACGAGAGCGCGCGTGAAAAGCAACCCAGGCGAGTCCCAGCGCGTGTCGCCTTTTCTCAGGTGGGGTGATTTTCACGCGCGCTCGAGTTTCGCTCGCTCTACTGTCCTTGAGGACAAACGAGGGACTACTCGTAGTCTAAAGAACAACCGAATAGATTCTCAAGGAGATCCCTTAAGTTCACAGTTCATATAATGCTCGTTTGACTCTGATAAATTAGTACGTACCAGACGAAATGTTGTTATTGGTAGAGTTTACACTCCACGGAGAAAAAATTGTAAGTTTAGTACCTTATGTGACAGACTATTCAGGTTGAGTGTATGCCTTTTGAATTTATTGTCCATTTGTAAGGTACGTCTGCTCAAAATCATGTAAGAGTCAGTAATAATCATTTTCCCTGATTTTCCTCAACCGCTGTTATCTTTGTCCTAGCCTGCGAGCAAAGGTTTCGCTCTTGCATGGCTTTTAGTGTTTACGAAGTCGTTCGCTTCGCTTGTCAGTAGTGTACCTATTAACTATGCGACTGACAAGCGACGCGAACGACTTCGTAAACGCTAAAAGCCATGCAAGAGCGAAACAACTGCTCATATAGTTGTGGTTTACGCGTTCTCGGAGCACAAGGCCGGCTTAGGTGTACGCAACATGAATTCTTTGCATATATCCACTGATTTTTGGGTTTTATCACGCTTTTGTAGGAGCCCAGGAGCATGATTATAATGCTTGTGCCTTTTTCAATCGCTTTGTAATTGCGACCGTAGTACATCACAGGAGAGGATAAGAAAAGCTCGATATTTTGAATACGTCTTTTTCTTTTTGCAACAGATCACCGGCATATTTTTTGCCCTTCTTGTAGCAGAAGGATAAACGAAAAGACTCGCAAAGAAAGTTGTATTGCTTGCTCGAAATCTTTCCCCGAATTGTAGGAGCGTGATATTGAAAGAGCGCGATACTGTCAGCAACACCGCGAACCTGTCAACATGAATATATGTGACAAATCAGAGCATGATACCAGAATCTGGTATCATGGAACGGCGACATCACAGGCATTTCTCCAGGCTCCCGCCTCCCTTTTCCCCTCCCTAGGGCACCGCTACGCTTGCTTCGCTCGCTGATATTTCGAGGTATTTTTCCTATTTGAGCCCGTTTTTTGCCTTTTTCTTCCGCTACGCCGCACGCGAGTAAAAACCTCTAGTACCCAGGGTAAGATTTACTGATATAAAAACCAATCTTTTTTAAAACCAATCAGAAGGCTTCAAGAATCTAGAAGTTATTTTATAAGAGACAAGAACACAAAACAAAAAATGGTGGTTTTTCATTTGCACATTACTCACTTTATTATCCCCAATTTATACCTATAACAAGCACAACCCGTAAAAGTGTCACCTTATCCCTTTAAAACGATTACAATTCATGTTTACAGTTATGGCGGGCTTTTCAATGATGCTACAAGTCAACGTATCTCTTACAAGATATTACTAAAGGCTAAAAAAAACTACTGTTGTATTTCATACAATCATCTCAGAGTTGATATAACAGAAAGAGACCTTAAACAAAAAAGATTTATTCCAAGTTCGCGAGGCGGAGCAAATACACTTTTCAGGCGAGCGCTTTTCAGGGCTTCGTTGTCGGGCTGCTTGCAGCCGTTTCTCTCTTGCTGCACTTGGACATTTTAACTTTGAAGAAAACTAACAACTTCACAACCGTTGTTTGGGTCATCATGACACAAAGAATGGATGCGAGGCTTAGCTTATGGCGACTGTCTTAGAATACCAAGTAAGGTTTTTAATTTGTTGTATCAACCAAGAGTTGATTATACAAATCTATTACTTTTCTAAATTAAACGACACGATCACTACATGAATTTAAGCCCCTAAACTATCTCTATTTACGACCCTGAATTCGGTCCCACTCGACTTTCACAATTTTACGACCGTTGTACTCAAAAGCCTCCAATATCTTCGAAGGGGGATCACACGCTGGCTCAGGAACTTCGGCTTCATAGCACTCGAGGTATTGGAAGCTTGGGTTCACTTTGTTGTTCTGTCCCTCGAAGGATAGCTCCATATTGCTGAAGCAGTGTCGCATGCGATCTGCCACGCACTTTTCAGGTTTACCGTCTGTTGAAAAACATGTGAAAATCTGTCCTGAGGTAGGTTCGATTTCCGTCTATCTTTTGGATCTGGGGCCCGTTTCTCGAAAGTCCCGATAATTAACCGACCCGAAAACAGGGGCACCCAACGACAGTTTACCTGTAAATACGTTAAAAACCTGCACTTTTTAGGCTATCTAGAGTACTTTTAGATCTGTAGAAAAGCATTTCAAGGCGCCCGGAATTTGTGTCTGTTCGGTCATCCTAGGGCAACTTGAGCCGTTTCAAAATTACAAGGGCTTCAGTATGATTTTTCCGAAAATTTTAGATGCAATTTAACGTTGAAAGCGAAAGTGAAAATTTTTCTGACTCCTCTCTCCATGGCATTTTCGAATCCAAAAATTTTGGGTTTACTGCGAAAAATAGCCTTTCCTGGGGAGTGAAATATGAAAAATTAAACTTCAGAAAATGGTATGGAATTGATTAGATAAGCTTCAAAAATAGTACATGAATGGAACGGTACGTCATCTAGAATTTCTTAGCCGTTCTCAAGCAAGAGAGTATTTGCGTCGACGAATGAAACGCTTTCTAATTGAGTCGTTGGCTGTTCTGTGTGTTCGTGGGTGGCCTGTGCATGTTCGAAGCGCGAGAAATCGAGAAAAGAGGTTGTCGGTGTGTCAGTTCTAAATCTGCGCCATCTTGAAACGTCACAATCGGCATGCAGCAAGCCGAGCGTGCTATGCGCCATTTTGAAACGTCACAATAGTACGTTTGCGTCATAAACGTATCTACGATTACTGCTAGTCTAGGAAATATTTGCTTCTTCGAGCAGATGCTTTACAGAAAACAGTCGCTGGGTTCCCCTGCGAAAATCTGTCGCCGTTTACCTGTGGGTCTGGAATGTGGGTCCCCGATCTCGCATTCCGAGGCGTCTTTAACCTCTATCCGCCACCGTTTTCTTTCCCTAACCCGCATCCCACTTCTCCTCCCCTCCCTTTCCCCGAAAGAGCCCAATGAGATTTATAGGCGGAAGCGAAAACCGACCATTAACGCCGTGTTGATCGGCCGACAACGTTTCGTGAGAATATTGATTGTAATTCGCCATAAATTTATCCGTCCAAAGCCACATAATGTACTTTTGTTCCTGAAAACAAGGTTCTTTCCCAATGTTATCGCTAAAATACATGGAAATTTAAGAAAAAAAAATGAAAATCCATAACTTTGATAAGAATCGATTAGAATCGATAGTTATCGATAAGCAACAAATTTTTCCTCCATCGATTCTTATCAATTTTCAATTAAATCGATCGAGTTTATCGATAGTTATCGATTTTTATCGATTATCGACTCTATCGATTGTACTAGCAGGGATCAAACTCCGTTCTTTCTAAGACTATTTAAAAATATATGTCGTCTTATTTAAACTTTATTTAGAGTATATATTACGTATATGACTCATGGCTTGATCATGATAGCAATGATGGAATTGGCCGTTAAAAGGTCAAAAATTCCTTAAGGGAAGTAGGTATCAGCGTACATACCAATTTTCTTCCAGCCACCTTGTTCCATAATACCTACAGTTCAAAGTGAAAAAAATGAAAAATGTCATGTCCATTCATCAAGTACGCACTACAACGTTTCTATCAGCTACTCCTCCAACCATCTTTCGACTTCAGGTTTATGAAAGGGTAGGCATTTCACTACTTGAAGGAATATATATAGGAAAAGCTGTCATTTCAGTCTGAAAAACGGCTCAAAATAGCTAACAGATGCATTTTATAGCTGTGAAAAAGTTGAGAAGTTTAACCACTCAAACGAAATTTAATGTGTGTACATTACAGTTTTCCCCCTATCGGCAAGACCGAACGGGCGCGCTTTGCGTGGGAGCGATTCAATAGAGAAGTTTAGATTCACGTTTGAAAAGGTAAACGAGAGATTCAAGTTAACAGTTTCTCTTATTAGGAAAAGGCAGGTTAAAACAGACCAAACTAGTCGTTATAGGTGAACCTGACACAAAACTGCTTTATATTTTGCGTAGATATAATGAACATTAACTATTAGAGAGAAAAATGGGTCACGTGATACAAAGTCCCGTTCGCCGTTTAACTCTTCTTATGTATCGGTCAAATCGAAGCTTCAACATGCCCCCCCGGGCATACCCCGGGCATTTGACACCTTTGCCGTCCCGGGGAGGAGGGAATTTGATTATCAGAGTCTTCCAGGGGGTGGGGAATTTGATCCCCATGCTTTAGGGGTGGGGGATTTGAACTGCACCCTCGATTTCATGTAAAATCTTTGGCGTGGCGAGCTATCATGGGGGACGCGGTGTTAGAGGATTTTCGTGGAAAAGATTGTGCCTTTGTGGCCAGTTGGTTACGAGGAAAGGGCTTAAACATGCTTTGTGCCGTATTTGAAGTATTTAAATTTTAAAATTTTTTATATTGGATTCAGGCTTTGAATGTATGACTGTATTTTATTGTTGTGTTTACAATGAAAAACAATACCTATAACGGCGATTCAATACAACAACATAAAATAAAATAAAAAGCTCAGGTCAACTACTTTGACCTACTGCAAGTATGTTAATTAATAAGGTGAGCGATGATGCATGTCATGTAGTAATCTCAATGGGTGGGATCTTTTTTTATAGAACGCTTTGTATGTTGCATGACGAAAAAAAGCTGACCATTCAGTTACCTTGTAGCAGCGATTTCCGCCACTTTGCACGAGACTTCTGTTCGTAGTAAATACGCTAACAGTGTTCCTCAGATTTTGTTATATTTCTAAAGATTTTGTTCGACAACTGAAAGCATTTCCACCGTCTTTCTGTCATTTTTGGGCCTTTGAAATGTCCCCGCGGTGGGGCATTTGATCACCTGAATGGATCCTGGTGTGGGGCATTTGAACGGTATTTTGGCCCTGGTAGGAGGGAATTTGAACAATAATTTTCAAAAAAGTCAAATGCCCGGGGGGTTGCCCGGGGGGGGCATGTTGAAGGTTCGATTTGACCGATACATTAACTTAGAGATCTTCAGATTGAAGGAAGAGGACAACACGAGGACGACATTCCACTTAAAGTTTTTCTCCAAATTTTTCCAAAAATTGACACCCCGGAAACTTTTGTTCGCCAGAAAAAAAAACATGGTTATTTTATTGAAAGAATTAAAGCCCTCTTCCTATCTCAAAATGATAAATATTCCTTTATTTGATAACTTGTCTCCGTCACTACGACATTTTCGCTAAAAGCTGTAGTAGAATGATGACTATCAAGTTTTCCGGCCAAAACGTCGCTGATTCACGCGCGCGGTTTTTTTAGTATTACTCCTCGCAGTCAGTAGAATCGAAGTAGAATTTGAAGGTCTCTTATCTCGCTCCCAGAGCGCCTGTCTGTCTTAGACGGTGTGGGCTTTCGAACGGTCATACCTGAGTTTTCTGCGATGGTTTTTATCGGCATAATCGGTACATTTGAACACAAGCCGACTTGTTGAGCGATATAAAGGTGCTGGTATTCATAAGCTGCGGAAAGGTACATAATCTTCTTAACTGGTCCCGGTGAATTTTCAATTTTCCCCACAAGGCATTCGTGGAATTTCTACAAAAAAGAGAACATAATCAAAAAGAAGTAAGATGGATTTGTGGTTCTGAAAACAGGTGGCATTCATCATTTTTTTTTTTTTATAGTTTATAGGTGCACTAACGAGCTAGTCGCTACCGCGGCACCGCCCGTTTAACATGCAGTATTTATAACAAACTAATTCCACGCTGAGAAGATAACTGTGGGTATGTCACTTACCCCTAAAAAAGTACACACACTGTCTGCTCTTTCTGCTTCTGTTCCCGGTGGCCTAAGCGCTACTTCATCAGCACCAGCCACGTATCCATCGCCAAGACAATCGCAAATCTCTTGGAAAGCCTCAGCGTCACCAGTGCCACCTCGGCGTAACAAATCCAGGCGAATAGGTTCACCCATGGCGGACGAGATAGCAAAGAGGGAAATAGCAAACACGATGGTCGAACACATATTCACTACGACAAAAAGAAAAAAGAGAATCTCTTTGCCTTAACAAACTCATGATTATATCTTTCACAGTAAGTGAAAAATAAAACTAAAGATTTTTGGATAGCGTTTAACGTCCCTTTTTTCCAAACCGAAAATTTTAGGAGTACCGTATTTATTCGATTAACCGCCCTGGGAGCTTATTAAATTTTTGGACCTTGAGAGTGGGCACTTATTCGAGGTGGGCGCTTATTCGAGGCTGGGCGCTTTTTAAATTTTCACCATTTTCAGCAAGTGTAGTATGTTCATTTTGCAACAATACAATAAATGGTAATAATAAATCTCGAAGATGTAACATAGCAAGGTTTCTGTAAAATACTCTAAAGAAAACTCCGCCTTCGAGCAAGTACTTATTTAATGTTTTTTGGGTGGGAGGGACCAGAAAGGGAGTGGGGTGGGGGTGGGCGCTTATTTGAGTTTGAGTTTGAGGGGGTGGGAGGCGGGGTGGGGTGGGCGCTAATTCGAGGCTGGGCGCTTATTCAATTTTTCTGCCTTCAGGATGGGCGCTTATTCGAGGTGGGCGCTAATTCGAGGTTGGGCGCTTATTCGAATAGATACGGTACTTTCTTCCAAAAAATAGCCAGATCAGGTGTTAAAATGATCTGAAAACGCATCTTTCGAAAATCGCACGGAAGATAATCGAAAAAAAATTGTGAAACTCAAATGGATGAACCGTCGATTAAACTGAAATTTCTAAGCCTTTCCTGATCTAAAAAAATTTTGCTGAGGCAGTATAGGCTTCTTCGAACTTGTATTTTGAAGAAGCATTATTTTTGAGAGATGTTATCAGAGGCACCCAACGACTGTTTTCTGTAAAATGTCTGTTTGGAGAATAAAATATTGCCTAGAATTTTCTATTACTTGAGGAGGGCTAAAAATTTCTAGATGATCGTTCCATTCATGTACAATTTTTAAAACTTATCTGCTGGAAAAAATCCCCTACGATTTTCTAGTTTAATTTTTCGCTTTCACTCCCCAGGTTAGGCTATTTTTAGTAGAAAAAGAAAACCTAAAACTTAAGGATTCGAAAATGCGATGGAGAGAGGAATAGACAAATTTTCACTTTCAAAAAGTATATAAAACTACATCTTAAAATTTCGGGAAAATCAAAAACTACTGAGGTAGCCTGAGTATCAGGCCTTCCTAAGTGGCTAGGGGAGAGGAGATTTGAGATGGGGGAGGGGGAGAAGCTCTCTCCTTTTTTCGCTTCCATCTTTCCCCTTTTCCCCAGAAACGCTTGATACTCAGGCTACTACTGAGGCCTCAAAAAAGACTCAAGTTGCCCTAGTATAACCGAACAGATACAAATTTTATAGCGCCAGTTAGAATGCATTTCTAGAGATCTAAAAGAACTCTGAATAGCCTCTTAGAAGTATCTTCAGTGCATTTGGGAGGAAACCGTCGTTGGATGTCCAGGTGTTATTAGATCGGGAGATTTCATGAGACTTGTAATGGCCTGTAAAATTTAGATTCTATGCTTGACTCCTCGCACTCAAAGAAATGAAAAAAAATGCCAGCATTACTTTTTTCAGAATGAAATATCTTTTTCTCACCTTTGCCAATCTTGAATTGTCTCCGTGTGCAATCTGTAAGTGCCACTTATTAGAATGTAGTTGATAGTTAACGGGGGTGTTTTTAAAACCCCATTGAACTAATTTAGATTCTCTGTTAATGACGCAAAGTAATGGTAAATGATTTTTTAATGATTTGTTTGGTACATCATTAATTTAATGAGGTAAAAGTTCTCCACGTTACTCCAGAAATTGTCTTAAGGTTATTGGATTGCGTCATCGTCGTTGTACAAGGCAATTTATTTGAAACTAAGCCATATTTTTCGGCGTATAAGGGAATTTATTACTGTTACAAAAGATTTCGTGATCTGACGTTTGTGAACCTTCGGAATATTTCCAGTTTTCATATTCATAAGTTGAGGCAGCTGAATCTTTTACATTATCGTTTCAAATTAGCTGAGAATGTTCCAAGCTGTTATTTTGCAAGACAAATAGTACGATTTTTTAAACGCAAGGATAAATTACACCCATTCAATTGAAATTTAAGTGAGACAGCACTTTTTATTTTGTGATGTACTTATTGCTACAGTATATGTTTTTACAGCCTTACCGCCTACTGCTATCCTTAGCTGGGTGAGCTACCAAGAATATGTTTTTACAGTCCTATAGTACGTCAGGGTGAATTCACATTTTTGGGTCCAAAATGACCGTGATTAAAATTGAGTATCCCGTTTTAGTTATCATCTTTCTCATGCACTAAAATCCCGGAACTAAAATGAACAGATAAGGAAGAGCGTATTCTTCGACATATCAACTGAACTTTGAAAAATTGGCTTAGTTTTCAAGTTTCAATTTTTTCTCGATATTGGCCGCCAAATATCAAACAACCTTTAGTGATATTGTACACAGCTTTGAAACCCTTTACTGGGTATAGTAGCTCTCTCTGGACTTTTGTTGCTCTCCTTAAATTAGCCATCTGATTATTACATAACTCTAGCTAAATCTCTTTATAATTTCTCAATCCGCAATATTACAGATCTTCTGTGTTTAAATGTTTAAATTTGTTTTTGCTCGATCATATAATTAACATTTCCTGTTGGCCGAATTTTTGGAAAGATCTTTTCAAATGTTTAAAAGCTTTAACCAGACCCTTAGAGGCAGTGGCTCACAGATGAAAGACGGAAATGAAACAAATAATTCAAGACAAACAAAGAACGGCCGGGAAAATTTATGTCAAATATTGTCTTTGAAACTGCTTTGAATGGGAAAAGAATGAAAGAGTAAAGGACAGAGAGATAGAAGAAATAGTTTTGGGTCGTGACATTGTATACTTATCTCTTTGAACACAACGAGGTCGTAAAGAGTCGGAGCGATTTGCCGAAAAATAATTTTATTTAGTTCCAGTCTCCGAGCGGATACCTGATTTTGGAGTATCCATTCTAGTCGCGACCGTTTTAAAATAGCAAAGATCTCGAATATTGTGCTACATCAAATCTGGACATCCAACATTGACAGTAATAGGAAGTGGCTGCTCCTAAAGTGGTCTGTAATTGGTATAAGATTCAATGGAGCCGAAACCAGTTGTGGAATTGCACAAATTTTAGGCATCCTTCTGATGAACAGTTACGGCACTTAGATATATATTTTTTTAACAACTACTATAATTTGCAGTCTGTCCACTTTGCATGCACTTCGGAATAATACCCCTATATCAAACAGGGTAGTTTTAAACTAGCGGCAAGTGAGTATCGACACTAATAAAATTGTAATACCTTCTTTCTGATAGTGTACTTTACCCGCGAACCGTTTTACTTTAAATTGTTGAACCCTTTCTTGCAAAAGAGCAGTACATGTAGTTATATTCGCTGATACGGACACTAAATAGATGTAATTTTGATTTTCGGGGCAAGACGAGGTAATCCTCCCCTAAAATTTCTCCGAACAAAAGAGACTGAAATTATTGTCGCAAAGGCCTAACACAGGTGGAAAATTAAGGTTTCCCTCTTTAAAAATTTCGCAAAATAAGGCAAGACTAAAAAAAACAGTACCTCAGTTAAGTTGTATACGATCGGAGCTACGTTTTGGGTTTGTATACTGCAGTCAAGGGACGCAACAAATACTGATTGCTGTGCAGTATCAGTTCCAGATTAACGAGTGGCCAATAGTTGCTAGGGAACCTGTGCTATTATAAAAGCAAAAGCGGCATTTATATAATGCTAACAAATGTAGACAAATTGAAGATAAAAACATTCAATTTCAAAAAGTCAAATTTCATATGTGCTTAGATCGATTTCTCTTACTCAAAGTAAGTCGTTTTTCATTTTTGTTAGAATTTACATGTATTCAATTTTGTCGACTACGACAAAGAGTTTTTATTATAATTATTATTTTTATAAAAATTACAAAAATGCTGCCAGTTTGTTTTATTCATACACTAATTACTCAGCTTTGAATCTATCAATAAAGTTGAAACATCCCCCAAGACCCACAAGTTATTTTTTATGGCTGCATGTTGCTAACAACTAACACGAATCAAGGATGGCAGAGGTTATTCATCTCTGTTAATAGACTTTTTATGACTATTTTTAAAAGCTTTGCTTTCGTTCCGTCGCTTTTCGTTGATCAAATCAAAGCCTTCGAAGTGCCTCACTTAGTTTAGATTAACATTTTGTCTTTAGTGCCTTTACTAACACTTGAAACTGTTTTATTTTCTTTCTTTTTCGGTGGTGTCGTTGCTTCTAGAATTCGGATAGTTTTTGCTAGACCACTGATTACACGTGCTAATTTGAAATAACAAAATACGATATATATTGATTATGTAACTCAATGTTAACTTTAGCTGTCATATTTTTCGTTTACGGGAATGTTATAAATGATCGATACTTTACTATTTGAAAACTTGACTACAACTTTATTAGCCTGTTCACAGATCAAGACCTAATATTTTCTTTTAGAAATCTTCGAGCCGCGCGTATGGAAATAAAAACCGCGGGGGATTTACTGACCGCAATCGCGAGCGGGCAGGGGTGGGGAAAAGAAGAAACTGACTTTTTTCCTCTGTCTTCTTTGATTTCTCGCTTGGCCTGCGCTCGGCTGGTAGCAAAAACAACGGAAAAGCGTCTGTAGACAGGATACAACTTTATACATTATCCTTCAACTTGAGGGTTTTTAAAAACTCTCTAACATACAGTATTTTAATAAAAAATATTCAAAGCAGGCCGCGGCCCGTCCAATATTAGATTCATTTAAATGAATTACGCTCAAACTTATGATTATAACGCACTGATTACCTCCACACAACAAATAAACCCGAGGGGCTGCTGTGTTTTTTGCCAAACCCACGCGCTCTAACTATGTGGCGTTTAGTCCGTATAATGAAGGCTAAAAGAGGATCACAAAACCCGCCCAGATTGCTTCTAAACACTGGAAATCAAAGGACAGCACAAAGAATAAGAGTATTTCATTTGTACATAAAAACTTCCAATAGAGCAAATTTTTTCGAGTTAATTTAACTCATTCCTGTCCTCATATAAACCATGCAAGTTGTTCGTTATGCAATATTGTTAGTTATGTAATAGGATGAAGCGTGACGTCACCTTACCATGGTAACAAAATTTCTGGGTCTCAACAATCTTTCTTGACAGAGACAGCCATTTGCATTGTCAAAAGATGAAAGAAAGGTATGCGCTACCGTTTTGTTACTGAATGCAATCATGTACAGGAAAGTCATAATGTCAATATTTTCATGTTATTTTTCTGCCATATTTGCTAGACCGCAGTTTGTTGAGATCCAGAAATTTTGTTACCATGGCAGTGTGACGTAACGACTTTTCCTCACTATTTTTAACTTAAAACATGAGAATTTTTTCTCAGTTTACAAACCTGTTTCATGCTGAATTTGCTGACATCTAGTTCCATTTCCAGCATATTCCCCCAAATCAGCAGGAATCAGCAATCCTGTTGCCTCGGGGTTAGCTTCCCACGCAGACGTTCTTAGGGGTTCGTCACGCGTGACTAGCCTCTAAGAACGTCTGCGTGGGAAGCTACCTCGGGGTTCCATTGTTGAGTTGTCGTTCAATCAACGACGTTTTTGAGCGACGCACGTCAACCGGAAGTGAGGTATTTTCCCTCTTAACATGCCTTGATGATATAAAATTTGTATTCCTTAGCTTCTTTACTGTTATAGAGGCGATTTGACTGAAAATTTGCGCGAAACCACCGTCAAAATTTGAAAAAAGGCCACTTCCGGTTGACGTGCGTCGCTCGGAGCTCCCTAATAGGGACCTTAAGCAACGACGACGTAGACGGCAGTGAAAACGTCGCTAAAAAAACAAAGTTGGGTTCTTTCAAACTTAATCGCGTCTATTTGGACCCGATCAATATGTCAAGTGCAGGCGACTTTTCTTGGAGTTGAATTACTCAGGATTTTATTCAAGTTCAAAAAGAGGAAGGAAAATTCATCGTATGTCCACGTCCTCCATAAAACGTCAAATTAAGAGGTTTCACGTCGTAGTCGTCGTAGTGAAGTGGACGTCAAAGAAATGTACTAAAAAGCGTCATACACGTGCAGAGCTGTTGTTTTGATCATTAAACCAATTGTTTTTTTGAAGTCGTCGTCGTAGTTGCTTAAGCTCCCCAATGATGGTCAACAATGATCAATGCAGGTAAACCAATTAACTTTCACTCGCGTGCTCCTCGAAAATGACCCTCTTGATTTACCAGGTCCTCTCTTTTGGACCGGTTGGCCAATAGGCCTTTTGCATTAGTTGATCACGTGAACGAACTGTTTTCGTCTTTACCCGAGGTTGATCACGTGTTCAACTAATGAAAAAGGCCTATTAGCTTGGGAATGGGCCTACCTTGGGCATCAGTCGTTTTTGAAGGCCCAAAGAGCAAAGAGAGAAGCGAAAAGGGAAGGTCCTGATGTTAAGGCTAGGAAATGGCTTAAAAATTATAGTATTTCCTCGGTTTAGTGGGCCCTATTTTCACTGAAAATTCTTCTGGAAGAAAGTTCTCCAGCACGAGACAGACAGATAAGGCGAACAGTCAAGTTTGCAGGTAAACTCTTAAGAAGATCACGAAAGCAGCAAGCGCGGTAGATAGCTAGCTCTCCCGCCCATTCTCGAAAACTTTCCAGCCGTTTTTCTCGAATCTCCACTCCCCAGTAGCCGTACCCTTCCCGTGATGCCTTGTGATCTATGTTTTCGCGTGATTCGAGACAAGAACATATCGCCCAAATTAGAGAATCCGGATTCCGGAATCTGGGAAAGATTTGCCTGTGGAATTCGGAATCCGGAAAATTTTGTTTGTGAAATCCGCAATCTTGGGTTTTGGAATCCGGAATACAGCTTAAGGAATCCGGAATCCCACTAACGAATTAAGAATCCAAGTTCCAAAAAGACTAGAATCCAGTACCTGAAATCCGGAATCCACGATGTGGAATCCACAATCCAGAACTGTCTCGGATTCCCTTACATGGGGCGAAACATACACTTGGTACTATCATGAACGCGGAATTTGTACGGAAAAAACGAAGTCAGAGCAGAAATTATCGTTTGATATGCAATGGATTCCAACAAAAAAAAGTTGCTGGACAGAATAGCAGATATTAGGATGATACACGAAATGAGCTCTGCACAAAATGCACTCGATCACTTGAAAGATTATTGCAGTAACTCCTGAACAACCAAGCCCCGGGTTCAGTGCCGATTGTTCAACCGGGTGTTAAAACGATGGACAGCGCAATTGATTTCCGTAATATTTTTCCGCTGGATAGTGATTTATCCGGTGGATAGTGCTATCCAACCCGGGGGTACTTCCTTATCAGAGGCCAGTTGGGATGTGCGCTGGATGGGGTCGCATTTTCACGACTGGATTGACTATAATGTATGGGGTCGCATCTTCAATAGAGTTCACAAGAATGGCGTCGCACATTTTCGGATTTTGGGGTTGAGAAAGTTGTTCATATTTACGGTTAGCAAACGTACCAGAATACTTGTACTGTAGGTGAAAAGTAAAGTGTTCTTCATTCAATTTATTTAAAAATGGGTCAATTAATTTTAGGATGACCTATTTAAAGGATTGATAAGGTAGATACGTAAATAGAAAGAACTAAGTTAGGATCGCGTAAATTACATATTTTCCCAAAAGTGACTAAGATGGGGTCTACAATTGGCCACAAAAATAGACTATAATGGGGTATGGGCTCTGAGAGGCCAGCGGCACATACCCAGCAAAAATTAACCCAAGTAACCCACCCGCCCGCCCCCCGGGTATCCAACGTTTGAATATAACCGGGGCCAGAGCTTTACCGCGATGCTGTCGAGATTTATAACCCATTTTCCAGCCTTTTTTGCCTTTCCTAACAACATAGATAACATCTAACGTTGTTTACAGGTAGCAACTAGGACAGTTGTTTGCGTGGTAGTCAAGTCCGGGGGGGCCGGGGGGTACAGTTTCTCTGGCTACTCTATTACGGACGCAAAGTGGTTTGTAATATCTCTCAATGTAATGTTTAAAAGACGGGGAGGAATGTATTATCAGGTTTAAAAACGCGAGGGAAAACCGTAACTGCATGCTCAAGCTGCGGAATGCTGAGGGCTGCGAAAGAAACTAAGCTCATGGCGACTGTCTTTGACCACCAAGAAAGGTATTTAATTTGCGATTTTAACAAGGAGTTGATTATAACAATCTAATACTTTTCCGAAACGATACGATCGCCACATGAATTCAAGCCCCTGCACCATGTCTATTGCCTAATTCTGTCCCACTCTTTTTTCATGATGGAGCGGCCATTCCAAATAAAATCGTTCAGCATCTGCGAAGGGGGATCGCACGCTGGATGAGGATCACTGGCTTCATAGCACTCGATGTAGTTGAAGCTTGGGCTAACTGTGTTATGCTGGTTCTCGAACGATGTCTCCATATCGCTGAAGCAAAAACCCATGCGATTTGCCACGCAGTCCTCAGGTTGACCGGCTGTTAAAAAAAACATATAAGCTATCTTGAGATGGGTTCGATTTCCGTCGCTCTCCTGGGTCCTGGACCCCTATTCTCGAAAGTCCAGATAATTAACAGGCTCGAAAGCTGTTTTAGTTTATTCACATTTTATTTCGAGCGAGGTGTCAATAGTTTTGCAGATAATATGACAATGCTATCAGTAAACAAAACAGAAGGTACTGATTAGTTAGTCAGGAACTCGCGCGCGTTATTTCTCCCTGAATCTGATAATTCTATAATAGGTGACTTGTCATGGGCCCTTTCCCGAACTTTAAACGTAAATTCGACTTCGTCTTAAACTTTGTTCTTTCTAAGACTATTAAAAAAATATTTTTTGCCTTAAACCCCTTTTGCACGGGTCCGGAAAAACTTTTAAACGGAAGAATTTTTTACCAGTGCAACCCTTTTAAACGGAACTGTGCAAGTTCTGTTAGAGAGCTTTAAAGATTGCAGTACTGTTACAAGATTCCATATTTTAGATGTAAGTGCAAAATGTTGGCTTAGGGGAAGGGGTAGGTGGGGAGTTTCCCAGAAACGTATAATGACCCCAGACGTCTACGGTTCCGAAGGTCCCGATTGAACGAAAGGCGGATCCGTGCGAGATTTTGTTCGTTTATAATTTGCGTGGACCCGTATGGAAGGGGTTTAATTCTAACTTTATTTATTACATATATCATTACTCAAGGCTTGGCGTCAATGATATGCAATTGGCCATTAAAAAGTCAAAAATTGCTTACAAAATGGAAGAGTAGGTATCGTTGTACTTACATATTTTCCTCCAGCCATCCTGTTCCATAACACCTACAGTTCAAAGTGAAAAAAGTCTCACATCAATTCATCAAGTACATTGACGCACAACCATTTTTTCTACCAGCCTATAAGCTGGGGTACTCCTAGACAATGTCAAACTCCTTCGCTTCTCGCTTCCGGTTCCGCTCGCGCTTTGCGCAATTATACGGTTAAGAAGTCTTAAGCTTTTGCAGACGAAACGGCGAAAGACGATTAGGTGATATTTAGTGGAAGGAGGAGGTATTCAACACTTTCAAATTAAACTCAGATTTTGGCATTATACGACCAACAAGTTTGACTTACAGGCATACAGACACCAACATATGAAACTGTTTATTGATATTGTTATGAAACGAATTTATCTATTTAACACTGTAGCCTGAAATTACAGAAAGAAAACAGGATTTCCGGTTTGCAAAAAGGAAAATTTCGCCGGCCTTCAAGCGCACCGGAAGCGCGGAAAGAGCACTCGTGCCAGTCCTACTCCGCATCACACATTAAATGAAGAGCGGAGGGCTCGTTTCACCGCCCAACATTTATCCGCCCTGGTCATACCTGAGTCTTCCGCGATGGTTTTTATAGGCGAAATGGGCACGTTTGAACACAAGCCGACTTTATGAGCGATATAAAGGTGCTGATATTCATAAGCTGCAGAAAGGTAGAGAATCTTGGGAACTGTTCCTGGTGCATTTTCAATTTTCCTCACGAGGCAGTCATGGAATTTCTGCAAAAAAAATATATCATATATATCCCGCGTACCGTTCACTGCATTGTACAATTAACGCTTAGATTGTAGTTAGCTCTCGACTAACGAGGGTGAAGTTAGGCGAGACTCACACGCGGCGTCTCCCCCAGTTTTACTCTACAGACCTTTGTGTCAGACTGCTAGTGCGTTCTAACCAAATCAAAAATACGGACGGTTTTCTGGTCTAGCTCAGCAGGCCGGACAGCATTTCCTGGGCGTTGCGTATAGTCTTTGTGTAGAAGGCCTGATTAACTCGATTATAGGTGAGAGGAAAAGATCGGAGGGATATTTTTTACCCACCAAAAAGAACAAACTTTGTCTCCCCTTTCCGCTTCTGTTCCTGAAGGGTTACACATATATCCACATCCTAGGGAGGTGAGGAAAAGATCGGAGGGATATTGCTCACCCCCAACAAAAGTACAAACTTTGTTTGCCATTTCTGCTTCTGTTCCCGGACGGTTATACACATACCCACATCCTAGGGAGGCGAGGAAAAGATCGGAGGGATATTGCTGACCCCCAACAAAAGTACAAACTTTGTTTCCCCTTTCCGCTTCTGTTCCCGGACGGTTATACACATATCCACATCCTAAGGAGGTGAGAAAAGGATCACTGGGAAGTCGCTTACCCCCAAAAAAGTACAAACTTTGTCTGCCCTTTCTGCATCTGTTCCTGGAGGATCATGCTGTACTTCATCGGCACCCGCCACATAACCTTCGCCAAGACAATCTGCCATGTCTTGGTAGTCAGTGCCAGATCTTCGTAACAAATCCAGGCGAATTGGTTCGCCTACAGCGGACGAGATAGCAAAGCCAAAAACAGCGAACACGATGATCGAACACATGGTCACTACGACAAATAAAAAAATAATCAGTCTCTTTAAAGTGGCGAACTCAGATCATTAATTGAAACGCCCATGAGAATTTTATCTCATAAAGCAATATAGTATCGTATAGGGCATTCTGTTACGCGGCTCCGAAGCTCTGGAACAATCTGCCCAGAAAAATATCCATCCTTGACTCCATTTTAAATTTACAAGGAATAAGCTGGTCTTAGCTATAATGTATTTTTTTCGCCATCAGAAAGTAAGAACCTAAATAGCCTAAATTATTGTGCTAATTTCCATTTATGTAAGAACCTGTTTAGGCTAACTTGGGAAAATACAGGTTCCTAGTCGCGGGTTTTGACTGTAGGCCAAGATGTTTAAAGATCGAATGTAGAAGTATCAGGGGCACCCAACGAGAATATAGTTCAATACTACTTAAACATAATAACATTGTTAAACGTATTTTAGTATTTAAACGGTAGATATAGGCATATTTTTATCCCCTAAAAATTTTTCATCTGTTCGGATTTCCTTGCTGAAAGTCTAGTGATCAGAAAATTATAGGGATCTAAACTTACCCTTTCGAAAATTCCAGGCAGCAAAAAGGCTCCCGAAAACTCTAGGTGACCTTTTTAGGGTAAAAATCCGTTAAAAATAAGCAATTATACCATTTTTCAGATGTTCGAAAATGCTAGGAGAGGCAGGCAAGCAAGAACTTTTACAACAAATGTTCCGAAAATTCCAGATCTCAAATCGTCTTCCGAACAGATATTTTTCCGAAAATTGACGTTGGGTGCCCTTGAAGTATCGGCCTTTTAAACTGGGTTTCTGATTTCAACTCCTCATACTCAATGCGAAAAAAATTACAAAGCAAGTATAGTAGTACATTATTAGAGTAAAATGTCTTTTTCTCACCAAACCAGGCTTGAGTTCTTCGAGTGTGTAATCTTTGAGTCTCACTTGGTAGAATAGTTGATAATTGTACGGAGGATTGTTATAAAGCCATGACACTAATTAAGATATTCTGTCAATGAGTGAAAATTATTCAAATGGTAAATGATTTTTTAATGATTTATTTGGTAAATCATTGATTTAATGAGGTAAAAGTTTTGTACGAAACCCTAAAAAAATGCCTTTTTGAATTGCGTCGTTATAGTACAACGCAATGTTTCTGAAACCAGCTTATAGATTTCGGTGTATAACCGAATTTGTACCATTGATTTTTGCGTTAATAAATTTTGTGACTCATCTGACCTTTTGAAAAATTTTTCTGGCCATTGAAAATGTTTTCAAATTCCGTATTCATAAGCTGAAACACCTGCAGACCATAACACTCTGTAATTATGGTCTCAAATTAGCTGAGAATGTTCCAAGCTGCTATTTTGCATAAGTTACAATTGAGCACAATTAAGATGACAAACAACACCTTCAATTAAAATTGAAGTGAGACAGCATGTTTTAGTTAGTGACTGGGATACACCAATCGATAGCATTTGTAGATATATCTTTTTTAAATCCCACCGTTTTCCCCCTTTAAGAGAGGCAAGGTGAATTTCACATTATTGGGTCAAAAATGACCGTGATTAAATTGAGTATCTTTCTCATGCACTGGAATGAAAAACAAAGCACTTTCTACGACAGAAGAATTGAACTAAGAAAACTTGGCCCAGTTTATTTTAAGTTGCTATTTACGAGGCCAGGTTAGCGAGGTCCCGTTACCCCTAATTTCTGCATGTATTTCTGAGCAACCTCGTCCCCAGGGCGCCTCCTTTTGTAGTTGATCAGAAAAGTCGCGGTTGCTTCTGTTATGCCTTAAAACACTTGAAACTGTTTTATTTTCTGTTTTTGTGGGTTCATTGCTCTTAGAATTCGCATTTTTTTTTTTACACGATCATTACACGTGCTTATTTGAAAATCATAAATAGGGCATTTTCTGAATTGATTAGAATATCGCTGTTGTTCAGCAGTATTATTTAAGCACTTGTAACTTCGTGTTAATTATAGCTGTCATTTTTTTCCTTTTTTGCTTACGGGGGTGTTAATGATGCTTCAGTCTTTGAAAACTTGTATACAACTTTATCCTCTTTTTTTTATTTTTTAAACCACAATCTACCTTGTCATCAATTTTCTTCATTTCGTTTTTCTCTTTTTTAGAGTGAGTTGTCTGTGGAATGGCCAATCAAGAATCACGAGTAAATTAAAAATCACGTTTCACGAGAAAAACATACTCCAATCACGCTTCACGAAAAAATTATGCGGGGACCTTCCTCCGAAAACGTGAAAATACTTACCCTCACGTTGTAAATGGACAGCAACAAACGAAAAGCGCGATAAAAAAGGGGGCAAAAAAAAGGCACGTGGCAATCTCTGCCTTTTGCCTTTCACGCATTTTACTCTCTAAAATGTAAAGAGGAGAAGTCGTCTCGTCACGTTGCCATGGAAGCAAAAAAAACCCCGTAGTCCTGGAAATATGGCAGAAAAAACAAAAGAAGTTGACATGTATGACTTTCCTGTGCAAGATTGCATTCAGGAAAAAAAACGGTAGCCCATACCTCTCTTTCATCGTTCGACAATGCAAATGGCCGTCTCTTTCAAGAAAGGTTGTTGAGATCCAGAAAACGTGCTTCCATGGTAACCGAATGCTTAGCCTTGGAATTACAACGCACTATCACCTCTAACAACAATAACAACAACCAAAGCGAGAGTCAAGACTTGATTGCCTTTACCTAGAAAAGAGCCAACCCCATGCGCCTTAATTAAGGTTTAGAGACTGACTCTCCGTACTATAAACGAGAGATTGGTGGTATACCTAAATACTCTAATGATAACAAAACCCTGCTCCAAATCCCCGACAGAGACCACGACTCCTTTTTTTTTAAATTTTACTTTAGGCGCAATCCATTTTGATCTTTCTTTCCCGTTCCCTTTTTCCATCTATCTTTCTTTTTTTATGTCCAGTTTATGGTCTTTCCTTATTTAGGATGGTCTCTTGATCGTGATAGGCTAAATTTCCAGGACTAAAAGGGCAAATTTAATCTGCAAAGAATAGTGGGTCAATAATAAAATTGTGTATTCTTCCCCCAAACGTTCAGTAGTTATTTTCTTGTATGTAACTTTTAACTGCGTCTTGAGACGTAAGGGACGGACCATTAGAAACCTTATGGGGGAGGGGGGAGGGCGGGCGAAGTACAAAAAAAAAATTCGCGCAAGGGAAAATTAAATGAAAAAAAATTCTTGCACGCCAGTTAATCCTAAAAAATATTCATGCAATGGCCTAAAAAATTCATTCAAAGAATTTGATAACGAAAAGAAATTCCTGCGACTCGAAAATTCCCCTCCTCCCCCCCCATAACTTTTCTAAAGGTCCGTCCCTAATTTAACCCAGGTTAGTAACAGAGTTTAGTTTCATCTGTAGAGCAGGCTAATGAGAAACCTGTGGAAAAGTGCTCACATAGTGAGGTTGGGATCGCTGTGTTATAAATTATCAAAAATACTGATCTGCAATTATTTCCCAAACAGCACTGAAACCGGGGAAATTAGACAGAAATGAAATGAATACAAGGGAAAATATTCATGTTACAAACGGCCTAATAGGAAACAAGGAAGGTGTTCCCGAGCTGAGATGCAAAATGATCAGGGCAAAAAGCGGGTGACATTTCAGATTTATCCGGTAAGACATTGTTTGTTTCTTAAAAGGAGCCAGTTGGATGTAGTCTACTACACAGCCGTTTCTCAGTGTCGTCACGCAACGCTCCTCCCCACAATTCTCAGCAGCCGTTTGTGGGGAGGAGCGTTGCGTGACAACACTAAAAACGGCTGTGTAGCAGACTGAGTTGGACTAGCCCCCCTGCAGACGTCCTTTGGGGTTCGTTTGTCACGTATTTACTTCTCCCCCAGGAAGAATTTTCTCCGTGGGGGAGAAATGAATACGTGACTAACGAACCCCAAAGGACGTCTGCGGGGAGGCTGGATGGTGATCAATAAAATTGAAAGTCTTGAGATGAGAGATCACTGAGATGTCACTGAGATCTACTCATGGAAATGCTAATAACTGTCGTTGTTGTTGTTGTTGTTGTTGAGAGATATCATTGCTTTCTGGTTCCCAAGTGGGTAAACCTTCCCGTGATGCCCCTCGGCGTGATTCGAGACAGGGACATTACAGGGAAGTATTACACTAAGTACTATATTGAACGCGGAAGTCGCGCGACGAAAAACGAATGCAGAGCAGCACGGCCGCGCAGCATGTATTTGCTCAGAAATTTTCGTTTGATATGCAGTGGATTCCAACAGAAAAATTTCCTGAACAGAGTAGCAGCCATTAGGACGATACACGGAACGGGCGCAGCCCAAGATGCACTCGATCTATTGAAAGATATCGCAGTAACTCCTGACCAACCAGAGCTTTACAAAGATGCTGTGGAGATTTACAACCCAGCCTATAGCTACGAACATCCAGCCTTTGTTGCCTTCCCTAACAACACTGATGACATCAAACGTTGTCTGCAGGTAGCAACGAAGACTGGCGTTCGCGTAGCTGTCAAGTCCGGGGGACACAGCTTCGCTGGCTACTCCAGTACGGATGCAAAGGGGTTTGTAATCTCTCTTAAGAATATGAGTAAAGTAGAGCTCAAAGGTAACACGGTTACTGCTCAAGCCGGAGCGTGCTGGGGGGATGTGTATTCCGCTGTTGATCAAACAAGTTATGTTGCTGTGGGAGGGTGCGTTCCTTGTGTTGGTATAGGTGGGTATATTCTCGGGGGTGGATACAGTATGCTTTCACGGGGGTATGGTGGGTTGGCATGTGACAAGGCTTTGGCTTTCACCATGGTAACTGCTGATGGGAAAGATCTGGTCAAAGCATCAGCCTCGGAGAATCAGGACCTATTTTGGGCTTTGAAAGGATGCGGAGGTGGAAACTTTGGAGTCTTGGTTGATGTTACTTTAGAGTTATCTCAGCGACCAAATCAGAGTAGAATCGTTTATGACACTGCAGAAGACAGTGAGCAGGGTTTTAATTCAGTTGGCAAGAGTTTGAACAGCTTCCCAAAAGAGCTGAACCTTGACATGGCCATTCATGGCTACTTTGGTAAGAAAACTCTCACTCTTGATGCTGTCTACTCAGATATCCACGAGGACTTGGTCAAAGCAAGCCTTGAGGCTCTACACCCAGGATCAGAATCACCTCCTCAGATGTTTGCATCCTATATGGAGTTTACCACTGAGTACAGCAAGCGCCATGGCTTTGTTCATCATGAAGTAGAACCGATTTATGTCAAGGGTACCATGATTGATTCCCTTCCACCATTGTTGGCCAAATATTTTGCCCACGTTGAGATCCCACCAGAATGCCTGTTAGAATTTGTTCACATGGGTGGTGATATTGCACAGTATTCTGCGACAGCTACAGCTTTCCCTTTTCGTTCAGCGCAGTACAGTTTTTATACGTACGGCCGCTTTCATGATCATGAGCAAAGAGAGGAAGTTGTAAGATTTGCAACATCAGCATATGAAACTGTTAAGAAATCTGGATGTGCACTAGGTAGCTATGTGAACTACATGGACCGTCATCTTAAGAACTGGGGCCAGAATTTTTATGGAGTGAACTATCCTCGCTTGTGTGAAATAAAACAAAAGTGGAATCCTTTAGGCCATGGTTCATTGCACTTTCAACAGGAAATTGGATCCTCTTGGGAACCTAATTAAAAGGCTGAAATTTTTATCACCTAACAAAGATGCAATTATAATGCATGAGTCTCTTTATGGCTATTTCTGATGAAATTGTAGTTGAGATGATTGCTTTTGAAAACATGACAATCTTATAGATCATAGTGAAGATCGCAAAGCCTTTCTGATCAAGATTGACAACATTGCATATAGTTGGGCAATGATGACAAAGGAATCTTCCAAAAAGTGTGCTGCATATTCAGTTTTTGTTTTGCTTATTAAACCTGTTGCTTTGTTATTTTTTTATTTCCTCCTTTGCTGTCATGGTTGGTCAAGCTTGCTAGTAGTGTTTCTATGCAAAACAATTCTTGATATGTGACGATTTTGTTGAGAAACTGACGATTTGATGGAAACACGTCAAAAACGTCGTCTTCAGGTACCCATGGAGTCGAGGCTCATGTATTAACAATAACTGAATTAAATAAATAAGGTAGATTGTGCCATATCTTACTCCTGTGAGATTATTTTAGAGCCTGTCCCATCCCCTGAATAATAACAAAAGCAAATTTTTAGGTTAACCCTTTAAGTCCCAAGAGTGACCAAAGTCAATTTTCTCCCAACAAAATCAATACATAATCAAAGGAAAGTGTTGTGAGAATCAATAAAATAATCACCTGTTGGGAAAAGCTTTGTTATACAAACAAATTCTCTTAACCAATTCTTGTAGGAAATGTATGGAGATCAGTCTGGAGAGTTTGTATTTGGATACTGGGGTTTAAAGGCTTAACTAATTCAAAGTCAAACCTCCATGTATGTGACCATCTTCAGTATCCAAGAATAACCCCAAAAAAGTTTTCTCAGTCAAAGCATCTGAAAAAACATCTGATTCAGTTATCCAGACTATTAGATTTTCCTGTTGGGTAAGTAACTATGCATGCTTTCACTTGCTCAATGGGCAATTAGGACCATCAGACAGGTCATCTTCTAACTAGAATCATGAACAAAAGCCTTGGGACACTTTTGTGTTTCTGGAGCGTTTTCCAATTCACACAGGTCCAACCCCTCCCCTCACCCCACAAACAATGTTAGACACGTGTATCTAGAATTTTTTCTGAGTTTCAACTTTTTATAGGGTGGGGGGAGGGAGAAGTGCAACAAAATTTCGAAAATGATGCACTGTTGTAAGAGAAAACCGAGAAATGACAGAAAAATATGCATATTGCAGTACTGTCACAAGGACTTTTGTCCAGGATTGTAGATAATAAAATAGAGCACTGCTTGCCCTAAGGACCAGCTCAAATTCAAAATTAATAGTGTCTTCAACAAATTCTTGGCATTTTCGGTGCTTTTTGTGCTTGCTTGTTTACAAGGGGCTCAGCTTTTTAAAGAGTACCATATAGCAGAAGCTGAGCACTGTAAATCTGGCCCCAGTTGTTCAAAAGGTGGATAGCACTATCCAGTGGATAAATCTCTCTCCAGTGGATAGTGCAATTGGTTTCCCAAATACTTATCGCCTGGATAGTGATTTATCAGGTGGATAGCGCCATCCATCGTTTGAACAACCGGGGCCTGGTTAATATACATTAGCCTAAATTTCAGCCATCCCCTCGAGTCAGAGTGTTCAACTCAAGGGGATGGCCAAAATTCAAGCTAAGTATACTTGTCATCATTTTATTGTGTGACAATTTATTCTTGTGGATCTGTGGTTTTTCTCGTAATTTACAGGAACCAATTTTTGTGATTTTCCTGTCCAGACCTCAGTCAATTGACTTGTTCGCATTGGAAATTAATTTGTAATCATGATTCTTAGAGCAGTCACATTTAATATAATCTTGTGCTTATTTGAGTCAATTACAGTACAGGTAAACCAACATCCAACAATAAATATCAGTTTAGAGATGCCAACCTCTGTAGATCTAAAATCTGGAGACTCTCTTTTTTGCATCACCCCTGGATATCAATGACCAGAAAGCATAAAGCAAAAATCGACCCAGTCAACAAATAAAACTTACATCAAGTAACTGACCTACAATGGGAAAAGTTATCAGTAAAGTATAAATGATGTCATTGTCTTCTACGAAGTTTCAGCATAATTTGAAAAAGATAACATCATCTGACCTGGTAGTGAAATATTACGCTGTACTGCCAGGTCAGAACGTGATTTAAAGTGATTTAAACTTAACATAACTTTTACCCGATTTAGTTGATATTTGATGTAAGTTTTTATTATACTTACCAAGCGGACTCTTTAATTCCAGTACAAAAACGTATGTTAGCTTGCGCCAACTGTGGTATAATTCCTGGACAAAAATCTTGGTATTCCTGTTTCATCAACTACAAAACCGCCCCATGAATCACAGCGAGCGTAGTTTCAATATGGCCGCTGCCGGTGAATGAATGTCGCTTCGCTTCTCTCGCTGATTTTTTCCCTATAGAACACATCAAAGTGGCGTGGTACACTCTAAACTAAACTCAATTTGCGGCTCGAAAAGAAAATCACCAAGGATTAAAGGTAACAACCTACGTTGTTTTAATTAATAACTTAACTTACCTAATAATCTACATGTTAGCTTGTTCCTTGCCTTCTGTTTTCCCGGTCCTTTCAGGTTTTTATACAATGCAATCGTGAAAGTGCGAAGAAGGTTTCAAGTTGAATTCGGAAGTCAAGCGTACTGAGGACTGGAAGTCACGAAACTTTCTATCGAACTTGCATCCTTCTTATTACAGAATCCCTGCTAGCAGATATTAGAGTCTACTTTTCTGTTTAGCTCGTGTCCACATACCCGGCAGCCGGGAACTGTTTTCAAAAAACTAGATACCCGGCAGTCAGAAATTTTGACCAATTTTCTCCAAATGGCTCGTTTAATTCCTCTAAGAACATAAGATATCTGTTTAGAAATGTCAAGCGATTATAAATATTGTCTTGGGTTAAAAGTAGAAGCGACTGTCGAGCCTGGGCATAGAGTGAAATCTCAATGTTTTCGACACTTAGAAAATATTCAAGTTCTGACACACTAAGTCAACTCCCGATGAATATCCTCAGAAATTATCAACGAAACCTCACCAAAGTATTTAGTGTTTGTTCAGAAATGCCAAGCGATTCTAAATAAAGGTTTCCGTATTGTTGTGGACAAATTCTCCGCGCTTGCATCAAGCATATTCTTTAGAATCTTGACTCACGGGTACGGTTTTCAAAATACTAGATGCCCGGCAGTCGGAAATTCACCACCAATTTGCAAGAAATATTTCATTGAATTTGTGTAAAAACATCAGGAAGTTGTTTAGAAAACTCAAGCGATTTCAAACACTGCTTTGGGCTTGAAGTAGGGGCAACCGTCGAGCCTGGGCATAGAGTGAAATTTTGATAGTTTCGACTCTTCAAAATATTCAAGTTCTGACACACTGAGCATGACGCGATTAATCAGCTCTCGGGTGATCCACAAACATATTGTCCAAACCTTCCCTAACCAATTAATGTTTGTTGGCGTAAATTCCAAGCGATTCTCAAAGGAAGGTTTTAGTATTTTAGTACATGAATTTTTCGCGCTTGCATAAAGCATTTTCTATGGAATCTTCACTCACGGGCACGGCTTTCAAAATACTAGATGCCCGGCAGTCGGAAATTCTCAGTGTACTTTCACGAAAATCTTTCTCGGCATATGCAGATTCTACTCAATTGTGACCTTTCACGCGAAAACGTACTATAACGGCT